CTGATTTTAGTTATTAAAATCAGTTATTCTTCTTTTTACTCTGGTTTTAGCGTGCAATATTTTAGACTGCGGTGTCATGAAGGTACAAGATCTACTCATAATGTTGCTGGCATTCAAATGGCGAGTATTGGCCAAAGAATATACGCCAAAAGAAGGCTCCAGAAAATCAGATGTAAAAATGTCACTCAACGATAATTTCACAGTCGCCGCTTTCAACTCTGATAAATTCTACGTGCTTTATTCGGTGTCGAATAATTCGATGTTGAATAATTCGATGTTGAATAATTCGATAAAAACATATTATAAGATAAATTATCGCAAAGATGACGTCTATGTCTACAGTCTCTCTGTACTAAAAAGTAAATCTGATCAAATTATATCATTTTTACAACTCGTCAAGAATATCAAGTCGAATTCGGTCTTACTCAGTCGAATCGATATTAACTTGTCCAAGTTTCACAACAGTGCAAATTATCAATATCGCAAGAGCATTAATAAGGTATTGAATAATATTGGTCAAGAACACATTTTAATCAAAGTTGATACACAAGAAAAGTATGCTTACGTTTTTGCCGATTCATTTATACTTTCATATAATTTATTGACAAATGAACTCTACCATAACAACGAAACAAATGTTGTACATTGTGATGGAGATAACGGATCATTTATTCCTCATGCAGCCGATCTAAGAAATAAATGGGCTGCTATGGTTGGCTTCCATCGAATCCATAATAGTTCTCGCAATAAACCATGTCTTTATATGTTTAAACTTCCATCTTTAAGTTTAATACAAGCACGTAGTCTCGGTAAGAGCAATATCTTAGACTCGGAAAACATTGGCTACAATCACGAATCTACCATGTCAGCGTCAATTGATCCTTCTGGAATGATGGTAGCAATTGGACAAGCACAATTGGACACAGTGACAATTGCCTTTATAAATAACAGCAACACGCCTACAAACATTTCTGAAATGTTCCAAATAGTTGAAGATGTGAAATTGATTGACTTTGGGCGTTCAGTAGCTTGGCTCGACGATAAGGGAACACTCGCTGTACTCGTTGGCAAATCGGGAAATCGTACTGGACTACAATCTGAAATACAAGTCTTCACAAATATCTCTTCTAATCCAACAAGTGTTTCTATTCTACCCAAATATATTTTTCCTAATAATCAACAGACTCTACATGGAATTCCATATAAGTTCGGCTGGGGGAGACGCTCCTACCTTTTTATCCTGGTACACGGACGCAACTTATTAATCCTTCGCGACGACGGCAAACTTATACATATTCCATCGGCTGATCCTGGTTTCTGCTCTATGGAACATGTGGAAGTCTCTGAAGTTTATCGCGAATTGTTAACTTGCCTCGATCGTAATAGATGTCCTCCACTTCTCACCGCTTCCATTCGCAAGAGTTCTTCAACGAATGAATCCACTTCGATGGTTTACTCTTTTTTATCGAAACCATGTGTGAGTGGAACCTACAAGAGTATAACCGGCTTTGGTCCCTGCACAGTCTGCCCACCAGGAACAAAAAATCCGGGAGGTAATAAGTCATATGATTGTCAACCATGCAAGCCGATCGAATTCTGTTCGCTGGGTGCTAGTAGTGAAGTCAATCTCACTGTGTTTAATTCTACTACGCAAGTATTCAACTATCTAGATTCGCCTATTATCGAAAACTATGATGATGTGTTGCTACTTAATTTCATTCCTAGTACATGGACAGCTGGTTGCGTCTTATCTTCACCTCTCTTCGTTGCTGTTCTATTCATAATACTTTCTTTCATAATATGGCTCATTATGTTTACCATTAAAAAACGACAGCCGACTTCATTTGACACTCATCGGAAACGGGCAAAATGCATTCTCAAGCACATTGATCTTATCGGAGAAGGAGAACGCTTGGTTGGTGGTCTCGCATCGATTGTCATTTTTGCAATTGTCATATATTCTATCGTTTTTGCCGTCTATTATTTTTTTTCATATTCCTCCGACAACACATGGATTCGTGAAGCATGTAACGACAGTCTACGAAATACGAAATTTGATAATGCTTTGCAACTGCCATTACCGGATCCCAAAGGAAACGATTGGAAAATTTTTCAATTGCTCAAAGACCAAAACTTCAACATGACTGTCGCTTTAATAAATACTGCAGCGAAATGTGATAATATCGATGTTCATCACAAGAAACATGCAGGCCATTCTGAAAAAATAAGCAAAATATATTGTAACGATTCAAACAATAATTTCACAACATCATTCAATTTTCAAATACCCACTCATATTTCTACTGTTCAGGTTGGTATAAACGGACCCTATTTTATTGGGGCTATTCGACTTTGTCTGCATGGATTACCAAAATGTGTAAATGATGAAGACGAATATCGTGAACTAAAAGAACTCGATGTATGTACTCTGTTCCATACGGATAAAAAGACTATTGGACTTTCAACTTATTTTAATGCAGATCTCGTTAGAGTTATCAATGTTACAAAACCGCTGAGACGCAATCAAAATACAAATTATAGTGGTGTATGGAAACCGATTACAACATATATCGATAATCTGTCTGACGATTTGTACTATGCTAAATACGGGGAATACTTGCGATACGCTTCTGATCAGACGACATTCACTGTAAAGTTCAAAGAACAAAACTACTATGTTCAGAACAACAAATCACCGATTATTCGCCGTGGAGCAATTACTTTTCATACATTTATGTTCATGTTTTTGCTGATTGATACAATTGCTATGTTTTTTCTTGTTTACAAATTATGGGGTCAACCTCTGGTACGATGTCTTGTCCAGTTATGTTATAAGTCTCGTGAACATGAATTTCAATCGAATCATACAGAAACGGCAATTGAAGTAAGTTATTCATTCTTGTATTTTCTTTACTGATTTTTTGATAATTTTGTGACAAGTTTCGATCGACGCTTATTTTCCATCAATGCAAATATCTTCACGAGAAACATCATATTTTCTTAGTATCGTTCAATGGGTGGAAGAGTAGATGTATAATGTAGCCTTTGTTATCTCTAATTTGATTTCCTAAAAATTATAATCGCAATGATTGTTTTCTTAGAGAATACTATATGAGAAAAATAGTTTCTTTTTTGTCTGTCGGCAAGATAAAAATGTTATCTTTACTTTATTTACTCTTACTCCGTTTTCTATAGTTATTTCAGAGTAGATGTGCAACAGTTAACTAGCTAGTGGATTGCTGCATATCTATTTTAGAGTAATATTATCAGCTAAAACGTATCTAAAAATCATTGAAAATAAAATCCTTCGGTTTCTAATTCTTAAGTATCGTCAAAACTTAATGAAGAGTCTAAATTTAAATACAACTCCACTGATGGATGGATGTTTTATTCTGATATGCAAATTTCAATATTTTCTATGTTCATTATACAGACAACATCTCCATCGTAACTCTATGGCTAGCACGGTAAAATTTAAAGTCTAGAGATCATTGAAAGCAATCTACGTAGAATGATGATCGCAAATATTAACTTGCTATTGGTGATTGTGTTCAATCTTTCTTCTTAGATTTCATCAAAATTCACAACGAACTGTCCTACTAGTCAAGATATTCAACAGCAGTATTGCGCGAAGAATACTGTAAAAGCTCCAGAAGAGTTAGCAATTATTGAATATTCGGAGCTCCCCCATTCTCTATCGACTGGTGAGTGATAATCCTTGTTATATAACTTGTGTCAGACAATATGAGATGTAATTGCACAGTCAAAAATTAGTTCTAATAAAAAGTAACTGTTCAGATAATATTTTCTTCATCATTATTTAATTACTGATGAATCGATGAAGAGTTGATCACTTCTCAGAATAGTTTTTAATCACTCTGTCGACCTCATGACTTTCATTTCGCTAAAAGATACAGTTAACTTTAGGGTAATTCAACACGTCAATTTAAGACTTTTAATAATCTGAACCCCCTAAAATATTTCAAAAATATCATATTTTCTCAGAGTTTGACAATTTAAAACATCGAAGCCCATATTGTATGCATGTTTTATATACAAAAATTTACCAGAATCTGGAATCGTATAAGGTTTCTAAAATATAATCAAATTATCTTATAAATTCCGAAATTTTCGCTTCTTAACATTTGAAAAAATATAATCAATGGTTGTTCTTGTAGTTCAGTCTCCTTTTTTGCTGACAACACCATCAGCCACCCAAGCTGTTCTTCCGTCTGATTATTCGATTGTTGTGTGTCCACGTGAATACTTCGACAAACGGTTCGACATGTATGCCGAGAAAGTAGAATATCTTTCGAACGAAGTTGTCGTCCTGAGAAATCAAAACGATGAATTAAATCGACAAATTATTTATCTCAAACAATACCAAACTAATGCTGATCACGATCATTAGAAATGAAGACGAGACGATGTTGCTAGGTTGTCTCTCTTTGTCAAGAACAACAATGATACCGACAACTATTTCGTGAAAAAATCAGTCGATCGACAGGAAGGATATTCATATTTATTAAGACGATTACAACTAAGATCAAAGAACCCCTAGAGTCCGACATTTCCTGTTTCGATTTTGTCTGTTTGATCAGTATATTTTTATGTTTATTATACTAGAGTAGTAACAATATTTACTTACTCCTTCTTGTAGCGTGCACTCCAATCTGGTTATTAAAGTGAAATAAACTCATCTTAAGTTACAATAACTTCATATTTCAATTTATTCATTGAGTATTTGGTATTCTCGTCGAGCTGTTTGAAGACAAAATTTCATTGCTCGAGTTCAGTGTGGATGGTCTCTTAACCCACACCCTCAAGAAATGCACAATGCCACCCTCACCCACGTCCTTAAGAGAGATTAATGCCTGAATATTACACTATACATAGATATGTAAGGACAGTTTATTTGTCATTTACGTTTGGTATTCCATCGCAAGCTAAACCTTTGTTCAATTTACCTGGCCAATGGCCTTCTTTTTGTGGTCTTGCAAATGTTGGTAACTAGCTATGCATCTAGCAGTATTCGTATTCTCATTCTTCGATTACTGTTAGACTTTAGTATGAACAGCAGATATACATATGTGGTAACACCAGATGGTCAAGATCATTTTATGTTAAAATTAAGTGGACAACCAATTAATTTTAAAGTACAACCAGATTGGTGTTGCAATGCAAAGCGATGTGTTCAATTCAACAGTATTGTTTTCGATCGAGCAGATTGGGGTGAGCAAAAACAAGTTGATATGTCGTTTGGTAATTATGGCTGTTGTTCGTACGAAATCACTGTGGTCAGCGGAGGATATGAGTGGCTGTTTTTTAAATCGACGTTTGTTGTTTATGCATGCGACGGAAACCCCGGCTATGATTGTACCGGTAAGGAACCATGCGGATCTTGAAGATGTTCAAATGCAACGAGAGTAAAAGACTAGTTATGCATGAATGGATGTAGTAGAGTAGCTTGTTATTATGTGTTAAACGAAATAAACATGCTTCGCATGAAAATGCTTTGGAAAGTATTACCGCAATAGCGAAACCGCGGTTAAACGTAAAATACACGCCAGGATGCGCTTGATGTTTTCATTGGTGATGTTGTTTTTCACAAGCAATCATCCTCATTCTGTGGCAGAACTAGATTCCACAATTATATTTAAGAAAAAAAAGGAAGTCCATCGTCATGTGGATTCATAGTGAGCATATTGTATTTTAGTTCACAGCTATTATTCAAATGTTTCTACACTAGTCATAATGCATCCCTTCAATTCGAATGTGAATATCAGTCGCTCTCTATGATATAAAAAATCTGCACTAATAGACCCCCCATAAAATAAATGACAAGTATTTAACTTAAGCCATATTTTAATTATATATCAAGTTACAATTTCAATGATAACATGTTGTCCATCATGATGATGAGAGAAAATGCATTTATATTTGCAAGGCCATTTATTTCGCTTCTTGTTTTATTCTTTGATAGAATATATAAAGTACGTGTCTTTCGTGATACAGCTGTGATAAATACAAAAATATTTGAAATGAGACAAACTATCTACTTGTTGTTGTTGTTGACTTTATTCATAAGTCAATGTTCAAGTCAAAGAGGTTTTCCAGAACAATTTCAAGCAACATTGAACATAACTAGTTTGCAGCAATATCCACTGCCCACCTTAGGTCTTCAACAATTATTGTATGATTACACAAATTCAAGAGTTCGTTTTGATATCAAAGGTTGGTTTATGAAACAAAATGAAACTTATATGGTTCAATACAAACCCAAAGGTGCCGAAGCAGATACCGTAAGTAACCAGATATCTCCCATTATAGATAAAAATATTTGAATTTATTTTGGATAGCCACCTTCGAAGGGTTTTACAATGTTCAACTTTAATCCTGATTATCCGGACCGGACAAAGGTATACGGAAGACAGTGTTTTCTTCTTCTGTTTTCTTTAATAATTCTACTGTTTTTTTTTGAAGAACAATTGTTGGTACAGAACCAATCCAATGAAAGACGCAGGCCCATTTCCAATTGAATGGTATGGTGATGGCTTAAGTCTTCGTGAAGTTCAACGGTGGTTTCCATTACCGTCAGATCTTATCAATAAGGGCGAAGAATGGGTTCCAGAAATCCAAGGATATGCAGTGGTATGTCAACATATTGCGAGAGAAGCAGCCTACGCATACCGTCACGTAGCAAAACAACAGACTTATTCCATTTGAAGGTGATCTTGCAGATGAAAATGTTGTATTTTGAAGAGATAGATGAAAAACGCACTAACATCTGTGATTCTATTGAGAATTGGAAGATAAGTTGATGAAACCGAGCTTAATGAGGATTCATCTAAAATTTATCGAAGAGAAATGGGGAGCACGTGTGCACGTCTTTCATTCGTTGTTGACTCTACTACCCATTACGTCTCAGGTCTTGTTTTATTGTTTTCAGCTTGAATAGGATTGTTAATACCTTTCTTATTTTGCTTTCTGAATATCAAAAAAAAAATGAAATTAACTCACCAATATTCTACTAAATAATACGTAATAAATGCAACTTTTCTCATTTTAGAGATATGATTCGCCAGAAATGTGTGATTTAAAAAAATCTGGAATTGGCCTAGTTCCTTGTCTAAGCTATTTTGAAGCACCAGATAGACCAGTAAAAAGTATTGAAGCCCATGTTGGTCGAACGGCTTACGATTACGATGAGTAAGTGTGAAGGGGTGGACACATTAGAGGACCTAGACTAGCGGCGTAGCCAGGACTTTTTCATAAAGAATACTCAACCGGCCATTGAAGAGTCAGCTCCCAAAAGCTTCCTCTGGTGGCTATTCCAAGCAGTAGAAAACACATGAGAATTTTCGTTCCCAGTCATATTTCGTTAGATTGACCAACATAAATCGGCAACGCTAAGGCGCGAACAGCATTTGGAATTTCAATATGAGAGCCGAAGCTGATGATAACAATCTTTAGCATCTAGATTTGGTTGTCAGTGACACGAGAAAATTGTATGAAGTGGGTTTGAGCGTGGGTATAGAAGTTATTCCACGAGCGTATCGCGAAGAGAATGTAAGTGAATGTTTGAGTCCTCATTTCAAGATTTCCCAAGTGGCCAGTATTTTAGAATTTTGGAACGTATCCGGTGTTGTAGTGGTTGAGAATTCCTACGTATTTGTCCATGAAGACTTGTTGCAACAGAATCTTCTGGGTCTCTATCAGGCAAAACTCGTCAATGCGCTGATGGATAAAATGCATCAAACGTTTTCTTTTCCAAGGGAGTTAACCTTACGAATATGAATGACAGCAGAATCCAATTACTTTTCAAGCCTATATCAGCGAGACGTTTCACGATAATTACCCTAAAAATTGTCAAATTGATTTGAAATTGCTACGAAACGATTTAGCACAAAGGTTCACCTCGAATGATATTGTATAGTGTTTGACAGCCTCTAACAGTTCTTCTAACGTGTCCACCCTTTTGTATAGTACGTCGAAAAGTAGTAACAAATCGTTTATATGTACATAGATATTTAACTACAGTATATCTATCATTTACAAATGGTATTACACCAGAAGCCGAACATTTGTTCGATTTACCTAATCAATGGTTTGCCTATTGCGGCAATGCAGATACCGGTAAATTACAATTTTCAGCAGCACTTATAATACACACCATCCTGGCTGTCTTTTAGGATTTAATGTAGAACCCTTTCGTAACTTTGTGGTTACTCCTGATGGTAAAGATAATTTAAAATTAACTTTACAAGCCCCACCAGTTCATGCGCCTACTGATCGAGTTACAATTGAATTGAAAGCACAGCCAAATTATTTCTACAATGGTACGCGATGTGCTGAATTTAGTAAAGTTGTTTTTGATAAAACAAATTGGCAAGTGCCACAACAGATCACCATGTCATTTGTTGATTACGGTTGTTGCTCATATGCAATCACTGGAAACGGTGGTGGGTACGATTGGCAATACACAATTTCGACAGTTGTTGTCTATGCCTGTGATGGAGAAGCCGGTGTAGCTTGTAAAGGCAAATATACATGTGAGAAATGAAAATATTGAAAAAAGGTTGTACTCAATTACATTTAAACGAAATAAATAAATAATGCCAATGATGATTCTCACTCGGAGATCGAAATGTAATTCTTCATCACAGATTTGCATTACAGTATCGATGAACACATGAAATTTGAGGATATAGGGTATGAGAGTTTTAGAACGAGATGTCACACAAGGTCAAGTTCGCCCTCTCCCACTCCTCAGATCATTTAGATTATCTGCTACTTATAACAAAACTTACGGTCATTTTAAGATTTAACAATATGCTCCAATTTCTTCGATACATCTGTCATAGCGAATATCAGAAGGAGTGATGTGTTGTATAGTCATGCTTGTTTTATCTAGGGGCTATGAAAATATACCCATTTGGAATTGTAGTCCTGCTTATGTGCAAAAATCGAGATGAGAGCTTATCTGTCAGTTGAAGCAGTTTCATTTCTAGTTATGAATTTCATCTATTCTCAGCTATAGACTCACCTACACCCACACTTCAAGCGGACCATTCAGATGACAATGGTAAATTATTCAAAATTAGACGCCAGATAATTTTCCAAGTCTTTCCAGCCAGTTTATTAGAAAATTAATATGATTTATTATATTCAAAAATTGGGTGTGGGTGTGTGAATTAGGTGTTAATATTCAACTCACACACCCTTATTGTGCCATTAATTAAATTTTTAATAATTGATGAGCAATGGTAAAAGCAAAGTGATTATCAAGCTCATAAGCGTAACGTGTTAATAGATCATGGTGAAGGAGTCGGATGTTGAATCGAAAATTAGTTAGACATTAGAGAACCAAGTAGACTAGAGTGCTTACTGTGTCTGAATGTACTGGATGGTGTATCTGTTGTTGGATATCATTTTAATATGACGTGATGTGCATGAAAATGACATCCATTACAGAGTTGTACTTTTTAAATGATGGGGCATCGCCCGATTTCGCGAGTTCGCCGTCTCTTAATACTACTCTATTTTTTGTCACATTACAGTCAGATCAACACATCTTTAAATATCTTTCATGAATATTTTTCATTCTTTATTATTAGCGGAATGATATATTCGATAGAATAAATATTTAAGAACTGCATATACAATAGTACAGATTTAGATATATTTGAAATTGCCATTATTTGCATATGTCTAATAATATTTGTAGAAAGTTTGTTACATTAGAATTTAGTTGTTTTAAATATAGTTTATATACGTATAGTTTTAGATAGCAAGTCTGCAGCAAAGTCTTTCTCATCTTTAACTAATGTTGAAGATGCGACAGAAAACATTTTGTTAGACGCGCCTGATAATAATAATACTTCATTAACCCTCGATGAAACGACATGCAAAAAAAATGATTCTTTGAAACTACTAGAAAATGAAACAAATTATAGTTTTAACATTATTGGTTGTGATAACGAATAAATGTCCATGTCAAACAGGATTTCCCAAACAATTTCAAGCAAGATTGATTATGACTGGATTATATTTTTGGCAGACATCAACTTCCGGTGTTCAACAATTATTATGTGATCGTATAAATTCACGAGTGCCGATTTGATATTACAGGATGGCGTAAAAACTAAAGTGAAACTTATATGGTTCAATATAAACGTAAAGGTGTTGAATCAGATTCAGTGAGTATAGAAAGTTACTTGCTAAAGAACGAACATTAATCATTGAATGTTCGTAGCCAGCTTCGCAAGGTTTTACAATGGTTAATTTCAATGCTGATTATCCAGAATTGAAAAAGAAGAAGAAGAATACCCTACCTTTCGGTGTGCGATGCTGTCCTAAGAATAGTTTCGAAAGCCCTATATTTTCCTACAACTATTACTAGCTGTAGCTCTGAACAGAAGGCCAGCCTGACTCAGAGTTCTCCTCACTTAATTACTTAAGCTTTCCATGCATACTGGCTAACCAAATACTAGTCACAAGGGCTTTTCGTATATATCAACCACCCACACCCACACCCTTCGAGCTAGTAGAATATAGGCCAGATGGTATGGAAACTTTATCAAAAGTAATATTCTTGGTGATATTGTTGGAAAAGGAATGGGTTTCTTGTTTTATGATGTTTTCAATGCTCATGTGATTTTCAGTATGAAGAAGTTTTCTTTGTTTATTGTCGATCTCAGCGGGTTGCATATCATTCCGACTGATATGAATAACATGGGCGAAATTTGAATAGAACCAATTTGCATATTGTCTCTTTTCTCATATTATTTTTGGTTATGAATAATGATAGATTGAATTTAGTTCAAACTTACACAAAACCCATTATTTTGTCTTTGAATAATTTACCGTGACGAAAAAAGTATTTTAGAATTTGTACACGACTACTTCTTGTTTCTCAGTTGCAACTGTGTAGTTATTGATCACTAGTTGAAGTTATTTTTTCAAATTTAGGATTAGCTACATAAAAAATAATTATGCCTAAGAAGAATTTAATTTACATTTATGAAACATGACCATATAGATGGAATATTTTGTACTGGAATTGATTTCTCTTACTATGAGAGAAAAAAAATTGAACAGTTTTCTATCAAATGTGTAACGTTTCATTCTGTATGTTTTTGTCATTGCCTGAACGAAAAAATGATTCAAGAAAAGTATATGCCCACGACATGTATTGATGTATTTTGTTTTTATATTGTTGTATTGAAAAACAAGAAAACCAATGAAATAATTTCATTTGCGGAAGACATTACTCTGTATAATGTTGTGCTCGTAATTTCATAGATTTTCAATATTCACTGTTTGTTTTTAACAGAAAAATAACGGAGTCATTATGATCGATAATTATTTTTTCATTTAAGATTTGAACGTATTGAAGAGTATTTTTATATTAAACATACAAATGACTATTGATCAATTGAAGTGATATTTGCTGAAAGTATTAAAAGTTAGACTTTCATAAACTAATATATATATATATATATTACTTTGCTATTTTGATTGGCGTTATATGATTTTCAAAAGTTTCACATTGATATTCTCATTGAATATATCGTTCATGTTAGACAAACTCATCTGAATTAATTTTTTGGAAATGAGCTCATTTTCTGGAATGTTTGTATTTATATACATCACCTGCAAGAGTTAACGATGATAGAGATAGCCCGTATTCACATGAATATAATTTGAACAAATTGAAACATTAAATTAACATAAGTTCTAAACTATGTATTTGACGTACTGTTGTGCTCATTATTTATCAATAAGATTATTTATTACTAATGCTTCCGTAATCAATTCTCTAACAGTTACACAACATTCATAAACAATGCTATTTTTATAAATTTTGATTGATACTTATGATAAAACAAGTCAGTTAGTGTGACATGAAAGAATATTATAAAACCTATCATAAAAATAAACAGCTTGAACGACTACCGTCTAAAAAGTAATTCATAGTCAATATACGTTTTTACATGCTAATTATGTATTCGATATTTTCAATAAAAGACGAGAATAGATGTTGCTGTACAAGAGAACAAGAATAAAATCCATTTTCTGTTACATGAAATATTCTTTTCTATTTCGAAATATTAGAATAGATATGAAGAAAAAAAATAATTGAAAGTAGTTCATCAATTACGAACAAATGAAAAATTGTGCATACGATCTATTACTGAAAGAGAAAGAGAGATAACAACCAGGGTTGCCACCTCATCAGGTCAGAAAAGCGGAAAGTTTGATCAAAAAGAGCGGGAAATAACGGAAAATAGCGGAAACAAAAATAGAAAAAACAGAAAGCTGCTTTTTGCTGACCTTTCACATTTCCAAGAGTTTAAGTAGCCTTGTTTTATTGCTCATAGTACTACTTTGTTCGCAGTTCCACAACATAATAGACAACTCATAAAAAATATCAGGGCGTACCTGGCCTGAAACTCCAAGAAGAAAAGATAAACGATTTCCGGTCCAAAAATAAATATCTTTTTTCTGTCAATTCTTTTTCTACTCATCTTTTCTAAAAGTGCCATACAGGGAAAATGTTTGTATCGTCCCAAAAAATGTTCGTTTTGTGATAGTGAAATGGCCGTATTGCGACTGTCAGTTCACTATTTTTCGCAGAGAATATACCACCGAAGGTGGCTCTTTTTTGGCACAGCACTTTAAAAGTTTATGCGAAAAGATGCAATCGAAAAAACTGAAACTCATTTTTCAGAGTAATAGAACAAAAAATATATATTCCTTTCCACATATAGCCGCCGAATGCGACTCCTTTTTGGCACAAATTAAAACATTGGCCCGAAAAACGTACAATCCAAAAAATAAAGCTCGCTTTTTACAAGTCTAAGAGGATAATGTTGTTCTTTACATTCAGCTGTCGAATGTGGCTATGCTTTCATCTATTATATTAACAAATGAATAAGAACTTGAAAGAAATTTTCTTTTCTTCACTGGCATTTCAAATCCAGGTGAATGTATTTCATAGTGGAGACCAAAATGAACACGAAACGTGTTTCACTAGGAAAATCTATAGGAAAATCTATCATGTGAAGCAAAAAGTTTTCAAGAATTGTATAGGATTATACGTTAGAAAATTATTTTCCAAGAAATTTTCGTCTAACATCACGTTATCTAGTTTCTTGCAAGGTTAAGTTTTCAATTAAACAACGAAAGTCTTTTATATGAAAAAGCGGAAGAGCGGAAAAAAGCGGAAAAATAGCAAAAAAGCGGAAGAGGTGGCAACCCGGATAACAACATTGGTTGAGTCATTGACAACTTGCACTATAAAAAGCAAATGTCTTATTGCTCTCTTTGCTATTGGCGGCATTGGTTGAATCGAACAAAGGAGCATGCGCACTTATATAGATATTGCCTCTTGAGCTATTGAATTGACACAATTATTAAGCAGATAAAAATGAATCGATCATGTGTTCAATTGACAGATTTACCGGATGAACTTCTTATTTTTGTTTTCAAACAAATGAACAATGTTGAAGTTCTCTATTCTTTATTCGGTGTCGATGAACGAATCGATTCCATTCTACAAGATCCAATGTTTACAAATCGTTTGAATTTCTTGAAATGGTCTTCGAAGAAATTTCTCAATATATTTTCTCCTGATATTATATTTGATCGATTTTGTTATTTTACCAGCAGTTCGTGAGAAAATTCAATGGCTTGGTATTGACTCATCATCTATGAAACAAATTCTACATGCTACTCATTATCCCAATTTACATGGACTGGGCCTATTTAATATCGAAGAAGAAACAATTAAAAGTCTTTTCACTGGTAAGAAAAATCTCAAGATCAAATTGTTACAGTATAGTACACAAGTGGTCGACTGATTAAAATTAATATGACTATTGTTTGTTAATATTATTATTTGTATGTCTAGATGTAAATCTTTCATCTGGTCTTTTTAACAGTCAGATTTCCAAGCTTCTAATTACAATTGGTCACGGTCGGAATCTGAAGGATTATTCAACAATGGAATACATTATCAATCATATTTTCACTGTGTTCAAGAAGTTAACTCATTTAACATTTGCCGAAGCATCGTATCAAAATGCTATTGAGTTATCATTTGTTTATCCACCGATCAATTTTTGTTCCTCGACTCTTTCGGTATTGAATATTAAGATTGATTGTTTTGAGATATGTTTATATCTTCTCGATGGTCGTTTCAATCAACTACACACACTCACTGTGGAAGCAGCCTACATTTACGAATCGGAAAAAATTGAAAATAAAGTTGGTTTCTGTTAGAAGAAAAGAAATTGAATCTGCTTTTATTTTTCGTTTCTAGGGAAATATATCAAATCTAAAGTCTTTTTCTTTGTCTTGCTTTCGGACAATAGACTGTTACGATGAATTAATTCTCCCATTTCTCTATCGATTCTCAAATTTAGAAACACTCAATTTATCTCTTTCGATTTCGGTGAAAGAAATTTTCATTGATGAACATAATCTGAGAAACAAAATTGTTAATCATTTGTCACGACTGAGTAAATTCACATTTGATGTTCATTCGATAATGAACATTAATCATGATACCATTTTACCATCAAATGAAGATATCCAAAACACATTCAAAGATTTTCAATATACGCAAGTGATATGTTACATGGATCATTTTCTAGATAGAAAGGAATGTCGATATCATGCATATACATGTCCGTCTAAAATGTCATATTATCAATTTACATCAAATCTGTTTCCAGGTGGATATTATCCATATGTTCGTTTTGTATCATTATATGATGAGCATGCTTTTGAGCATGAATTTTTCCTTCGAATAGCTCAATCATTTCCATTGATACAAAAATTAGTTTTAAATAATGCCAAACGACAACGATACAAACAGTCTTATAAATCAACGAATGATAACTGCCACTTATCAATCGTTGAATATTCTCATCTTCTCGAACTAGACGTTCAATGGGCTCATGATGATTATATTGAAGAATTTTTATGTGATAGAAAAGCATGTTTTTGTAAGAATATTCGTCTTCATGCTGTTGATGATGCTTTGTTAAGAGTAACGAAACATTTTACAAGAGAAGATACTCGAATGAATTGTACCAAAGTCGACAATTTACTTGTATGGGCTGAATGGAGATCTTCGAAGTGTTTTCAAGAGTATTTTCCTTCGCTAAAAGAAGATGATGCTTATATTTCTTCTTCATTTTACTAAAATAGACGAAAATTATATTGAATAATAAGATATCCATGTATTTGATGAAAGAAAAACGTCAGTGAAATTTACAACATTCGATATTGATGAGAGAATCGCATGTGAACATTACGAATGTTTTAATCTGATTCATAGTTCACTTTCTTAAAAAGGATTAAGGTGTTTGGCAAGGAACAGCAATCGTCAAAAGTGTCTATCACAAACATTTTGTTAATTTGATTAGTTTAATAGTTTGCTCTCTTCCATCATAGACTTCTCTCCTACACCAGATAAAATGAAGTCTTTTAATTTTTGGGTGTTAGTACGGGCGTGAATGTGGATTTGGAGCTGACAGTTTCGTTTAATCAGATGAAAATCGCATCGCACCTTAATATTCTTTGGCAGGTCATCATAACGAACATGTTCTATCAAACCATAATTGAAGTTTTTATAAGTATCACCATTTCTGAGTGGTGTTTGTTAGTTAGAAAATCGATTAAGAAAATATTAATAATATATGATCTTATTGGCAAGCAATAATCACACAGGGTTTTAAGTAAACAGTTTAGAACTAAGTTTATAATGTAAGTTTGTTCAAATCATATTTGTATCAATATGATCGATCTACCGCCATTAATTTTTACAGGTGATGTACATGAAGATTTCAGAAAACGATTTCATTGTCTAGATGTAGTAGCGGAGTTACGGGGTGGCTGATTCCCTTCCAGGATTTTTTTTCTGGCTCCGCCACTATCCGTAGGATTACTTGACATGAGATTGTCTAACATGAACGATATATTTTATGACAATATCAATATGGAACCTTATCAAGTCATACAACGACAATCAAAGAGCAAATGAATATATGCGATAACTTTTTTAGTTTTCATTTTAAAAAAAAGTTTTGGTCACAAGCCACCTAGCTAAGATGACACTCTATCGACCGGTGCAAAAATCAACTGAAAACCCTGCACGTAGAGCTGCCTGCAGGGTATTCTTTGATCACGATTTTTCGAGTTTACATTCACCCATGTTGAGGTGAGTGTATAACAAGGGGGAAAGTGCAGGTTTGGAACCACCAGCACCTCAACACCTTTTCTATAGTGAGATTTACTTCAGTCGTATGGAAATGAATCGGAAAATCTACCTTCATTTTCAATAGTAGAGGCGAATTTTTTCTTGAATTATTCACAGAATCTGAATGAGAATTATTTCAGAATAGAAAAGCCCACAGAAAAAGAACAGCATCCTTCGAAAGTAACCGTATATCAAATTGCAAAATGATATATCAAAAACTTTGATCCTCCTTTTATTAGTGTGAAAACTAACAATGAGCTCTGATTATTTTTCAGAAGTTTATTTTTCATTTTATCATCATTGCATTTGGATTATTTTCCACAATTTTATTGTGCATTTCATGAAAAATCAATTTTAAACACCTGGGGTCTCCCTCAAGGGTTAAAAGCCTTTTTTGTTCCGGTTTTAATATAGATAGCTATATTTCCATAAAGCTAAGCTTTCTGATGACAAGTATTGTCTCAGCTTTGAATTTCATTGAATAATAAGAAAGATATGAAGCACTCTCTCGGAGCCTTAAAAAACAGTTACTGACTTAAAGATCCATGAATATTCGATTTATACTGTTTGAAAATAGGTCCGTTCCATGCACAATGTTTTTTTCTATCAGATTATATAAGAACGACTTAGATATTCAATCTTTTTTCTCTCGATAAACTTTACATACTACCCCCGATCGGGCCATATAGTTACAAATACTGCTTTTCTCAGCTTTATGAAGTGTTGTTTTTCGAGGTGTACCAGTAACATTTTCTTATCGGACACGTAATTAAATGTGTTCTTTCCAATGAAATAACTTTCAACTTAAAACTCAATGTACTATAAAGCGTTTTCGTTCCAATACTAGTATTGGGATCGAATTTCTGTCATTGCTTGGCTGATACTTGATGATTTCAAACAGAATAATTCCTATGCGGCTGAATATAAATATTATATTTGGTTTAAGCACAAAATCTGAGCGGATCTAATTATTTCTACAACTTTTGTTTTGGTCAGATTTTTACGTCTGGTTCGCTTCAGGATTATATGAAAACAAAATATTTTATTCAAAGCAACTATTTGATTGATTATTAATTGATCTATTTTATCTCAAACATCATTCCCAAACTTTGGAAACTTTTAACATTGCCACATGACTTTTGGAGTAAGTTTATTTTTTCGCTATCCTTGGCGGGGACCAGATGTGAAAATCTGACCGAAAACAAAAGTTGTAGAAATAAATCGAATTAGATTTTGTGCTTAAAAAAATTTTAATATTTAAATTCAGTCAAGTGGGAATCAATCTGTTTGAAACTATCGAATGTCGGTCGCAAATGACAAAAATCCGGTTTCAAGAGTAGTATTGGAGCAAAACCGCTTCCCATTGCAAGGCGTTTTAATTTGAAAACAGTTTTATTAGAAAGAGGGCATTCAATTACGTATTTGGTAAGAAAATCTTTCTGGTAAACGTCGAAAAACTACACTTCATAAAATTGAGAGCAGCATTATTTCTAACTGCGTGACACAATCGGGGCGGTATTTAGCATTTATCGATAAAAAAAATTTGAATATCTAAGTCGTTCTTATATACTCTGATAGGTAAAAACATTCTGTATCCAAGGGGCCTATTTTCAAACAGTATAAATCAAATATTCATGGACCTTTGGGCCAATAGTTGTTTTTAAGTCTCTCTGAGAGTGCTTCGGATCTTTTTTAGTATCCAATGGATTTTAAAATCTAAGATGATATTTGTGATCAGGGCACTTAACTTTATTGAAATATAACTACTTGCACTAAAATCTGAACAAAACATTTTTTCGATCCTTGAGGGGTACCCCAAATGTTAAAAATTGAGTTTTCATAAAATACACAATAAACTCGTGGAAAATAATCAGAATTCAATGATGATTCTCAAGCTAATAAAGTTAGGTGCAGATTTTCTGTGAAGTCAGGTTCCTGATTTGGCACACCTCTTTTTTGATCGTGCAATTAGTGTATTCGCCAAGACTGGCGGAAAACAATCAGTTTAACAAAAAAAATTGTCGGCCTGTCGTATACCACTCCTTTATTTTACTGTTCTTTTTTCACAACTGCTAACATCCTTAGAAAGCTTTAGCATCTCTAGCACCTGTTCAGCATCTTCGGCACTTTATAGTAAAATGTGGTGCTTGGAGCCAGAACTTTCCTCCTTGTTACCTACTGTTCAGTGCTCGATTATGTGTCTTATAAGTGGACTTCCGGCGATTTTTATAACCCTCTGTTTAATCTAGTCCTTCATGAAGGACGTACTTCTTGGTACACTTGTTATCTAAAAAGCTGTTTTATTGTGCAGATATTCTGTTGCTTATTAATATATGTGCTTGATTCTCTATAATATGTGTTTTATTCTATCCTATGTTTTCGTTTTATTTATCGTGAACTTTGAAAGACGTCTTTATTTTTATTTTCAGAAAATTGTCTCTCTAGAATAATCATTTATTTGCGTGTTGTTTTTGTCGAAGATTTCACTTATAATTTATTTATCTAATTCTTCGACGACGATGTATTATCTTTCTTCACGTTTCTAAAAATATAACCATTTATTGAAGAAGAAAAAATGCATCTAGTTTATGATCATTCTTGATTTATTTAAATCACATGCCTTTCAGTATTATGTGATAATTAATTACAAGATATCAGTGTGCATTGAGCGTCGCTGTTGGTGACAAAAGTGACGATTTTTTTGGTGCTGTCACTGACACCGCACACCCTTAGTTAAGGATAGAAATAAGGAATTAAATAAAGAATTAAGGAGTTAAGGGACAAATACAGTGTTAGATTTGCTTTCGATAGGTCAGATACGTCTCTCAATTGTGGATATACGTTGGAAGAGCTCTACAGAAAACGAATTGCCAGTATATTTCTGTTTGGGTGATATTAAACTAAGTGCCATACAAAGCATTGGCTAGGAAATGTTTTATTAAGCTAGCAAAATAATAGTCTTATACGAAACTGAGAAAATGTGCAGAATTCGTTTCAAATCTCGAAACCCTTTCTTAGATTCGTATGATGCCCTTTTTTCAGTGTAGTACGAGTTTGCTGAATACAACATAGTAATAGATTGATTTATACAATGAATTGCTATTCTTGGAAGATAAATATGATCTTGTCACTTGTCGAATCATGATCAGTATCTGCTGATTTTCAGGAACCAAAAAGATCTTTCTGGAAAATGTCATTACGATAAATTTATACGCTTTCGTATAGAGTATTCAGGCTGCGGACAAGAACTCCAAAGCCAATGGGATCATAGCAAAAGTAATGACCCATAAGGTTTCTTTTACATTTATCATTTTAGACGTCGCGTGACGATTAGGTGTGACTAGAATTCTTTGAATCCTATCAATCTCTTCTGCGAATCTGTGTTGGTGCTCTAGTAATAAATTCATCCATTTCACGGTGTTGCACATAGCATATGCCTCCTACAAATGCTTTAATGCTAGCTCACGCTGACCGTTTCTGCATAATCTAACCCAAGAGCTCGATGAACTATTGCGGGTGTGAGTGTCGGGTGCTACGCAAACGGTATACCCACACCCATTTCGGTTTGTATTCTTCAATATAATACAAGTCGATTTGTTCAATAATAAGAAATATATATAGATATGCTCTTCCATAATACGGGAACGCGCGAAGTGCGATAGTACTGGTTATATATTTCGAAGTATATGAATCGGTCATCCTGTACAATGCCAACGGTATACATCTTCTAACAAAATTAAACGTATTTCTTTTCCGGTTGACAATCATTAACTTTAGTTTTGGCTGTAGCAGAAAAAAACTTGTTCCCTAAACAAATTTTATTCTTGATAAGAATTCTCAGAGTGGTCTAATGACTATATTTTTTTATAGTATATAAAAATTAATTTCTTTTATATAATAAAGTAGTTTTCTGAAGATACCTGATGGGATCCTTAAGCGAGATCGAAACGTCGTATATACTACTTTGAATCTATTTTGAATATTTGAGTGTATAACACACCAACACCCTGCATATAGAAATTTTTCAGATCAAGTATCTCAAGTTCTATTAAATTTATAATAAACTAGATATTTCGATGAAACAATTTGTATGTTCATAATAAATCATTCTCTTGTTTATTGAACAGAAGATAGTTCCATTCGAAAACCCGATCGTTGCTTTTTAAAATGGTATACAAATAAAAAATATCAATGATGCTAAGATCAGAAAAAAGAAGAAATCCAGTTCAAAATAACACTGTTAATCGATCCGATTTTGTTGATGGATCGAAAAATTGTTTTCCTGCGTCACTGATTTTATTGCGCTCAAGATTCAACTGGACGAGCGTCTACATCGAAAAAAACAAATGTGTTTAAAACAGATGAATGAAGAGTTAATCTTACATGATTGTGTTGTAATCTCTCAGCAAGATATTGAGCTCCTGTATCACTGATTTCGTTATGGCTGAGATCCAACGAACTAATTGTCTTTATTGAACGATATAAATACGTCTGGGATACGTATATTCATAGTAAATTAATCTTACTCTATTATGTCGTAGTGCATCAGCTAAGTATTGCACTTTTTCATCAGTAATTGAACCCGATCGAAGAGACAAGCTGGTGATCCTCTATAGTTAGTCGTAGAAATATTAACACGATACATTCGAAGAAAAGTATCTTACTGTATTATGTTGCAATGCATTAGCAAGACCTGTTATTCTTTCATCATTCATATAAAACGAATCTAAATTCAGCGTTAATTGTGCCTAGATAAAAAAAAAACATTAATCTGGCAAAGTTAGGAAAACAAACGAAACTCATCTTACGGTACGGTTTTGTAATGCAGTATTTATAAAGTCTTGTTCTCTAGGAAGCCAGCTTATCACTGTTAGCGTGGTGATTGTCTGTTTAGAATGATTAAATTCTCATTAGATATATGAATGTATAAGTGATCATACTCTGTTCCATTGTAATGCATCTGCTAGATATATTCCTCCCACAAAATTAATATCGTTGCCATTAAGATTTAATGTTATGAGTGTCTGAGATGAAATGATATAGACGTAAATGCAATAGATTGGTAGAAAACTAAACATACTGCATTGCGTTTTAATGCGTTAGCTAAATGTTGTACTCCTGTGTTCCCGATTCGGTTGTATTGTAGATCTAATTGAGTCAGTGCCTTTATTGAAGCAGCAAATGAATATGGGACAATTGAGTACATAATTAATCGTACCTTATTTTGTATTAACGCATTCGCTATATATTGAGCACTTACAACATCAATTTTATTGCTTTGAAGACTCAGCGTGGTGAGTGTCTATAATAAAGCATTTAGATGTTTATATGCACGTGAACAGATGAATGAAAAACTTATTTTACAGTGTTCTGCTGTAATATATTCATTAAATACTGTATTGCTTCAGCATCAATATTATTAATCGAGCAGAGTTCCAATGTAGTTAGCGTCTATGATAAGCGATTGACATGCAAATGATAGAAGTGAAATGAAACTTAAATTTACTGTATTCTTTAGTAATGTGTTAGATAGACGAATTACTCCTTGATGACCAATGTGAGTATGTTCAAGTTTGAGTGCGATTAATGTCTGTATTAAATGTGAATTGACTTAATCGATATAAAAAAAGTAAATCTTACTGTGTTGTGTTCAAGTAAATTAGATAAATACTGTGCTCCATTCTCATCGATACTTTCGCTTTTTATAGCTAAGGTGGTAAGTGTCTGTATTAAATGAAAAATATCGTTGTGAAATTGAATAAATCGAAAATTTATCTCACTGTATTGTATTGTAATATCTCACAAAGATGTTCTAATAATTTATTACTAACTTCTTTGCCTCCAATATGCAGTGCGGTGAGTGTCTGTAGTAAATAATTCACATGGTATCATCATAGACGGATTAAAAACTAATTCTACTGTGTTCTGTTGTAATATATCACATAGATATCGTATGTTTTTATCACTAAATCCATTGTTTGGAAGTTTGAGTGTAGTTATGGTCTAAATTGAACAATACAAATGCGCAGGGAATATTTGAGAACAGAACTGATTTTACCTTGTTATATTTTAATGCATCCAATAAATATTCAAATTCTCTAGAACTCATTTCAGACCATAAGAGATCTAACATTTGTAGAGCCTGTAATTATTTATTCGAAATTATCTGAGACGTAACTATAATCTTACAGTACGATGTTGTACTGCATTGATTATATCATTTTTTGACTGCAGTTTAATTGCATCAGCACAAGCAACTAGGCTAATCAGTATCTGCGATGGATGGGACAGATATATAAAAGATAGTTGAACATAGAACTATTATTACCGTATTTCGTTTGGATGCATTGTATGAACGTTCAAATTTTCTAGAACTCATTTTAGTCCAGTTGAGATTTAACATCGGGAGAGTCTGTAATTATTCATTGGAACATATCTGAGACGCAACAATAATCTTACAGTACGATGTTGTAACGTTTTTATTATACCTTCTAGTTCGTGTAGTGTGATTGCATCAGCATAAGCATCTAAGCTAGTCAATGTCTGCGATAGATGATACAGATATATAAAAAAAAACAGTTGAACGGAGAACTACTATTATTACCGTATTTCGTTCTGATGCATTGCGTTTATGTTCAAATTCCCTACGCCTGATTTCGTCCCGCAGGAAATATACTATCTCGGAAGTCTGTAATTAGTCATTCGAATGTATTTGAGCTACGAAAATTATCTTACACTGCCGTGCCATAAATCATCGAATTTATTTCGTTGATTGCGCGGCTTGGTGTCATATGCACGAACATCTAGACTAGTTAGTGTCTACAATGGATTCCATAGATACATACAAGACAGTTGAACAGGGAATTATTTTTACTGTATTTTGTTGTAATGCATTCAGTAAATATATTGCTCCTCCAAAACCGATTAGATTATTTCGAAGATCTAACGTTTGCAGAGTCTATATTGGGAAACAATGTTCAGATAAGAAACTGAGTCCGTAACTGATTCTACTGTATTGTGCATCAATGCATTCGCTATATATCCTGCTCCGGCGCTCGTGATGCCGTTGGAATCTAGATTCAATGTAGTAAGTGCCTTCATCGAATGGCAAAAATGTTTACTAGATACATAAATAGATAACCGAGCTTACAGTATTCATTTTCAGAGCTTCTGCTAAACATTGGACTCCTTCATCACCGATGTAACTGTCTTTAAGGTTCAAACTAGTGAGTGTCTTTATCAAACAAGATAAATATATGTAAAATGGATGATATTGACATAAATGTTACCGCAGCATGTTCTAATGCGTTAGTAATATCTGATTCCTTGTCATGACCATTTGCGATGCATTCAATATCTCGTATGGCGATTGTCTGAATTCAATACATGGTAAGTATATACGAATTGTTGGCAATATAAGTAATATTACTGTGTTTTGTTGCAATACATTTGTTAGATATATTGCTCCTGCAATACCAATATTGTTTTCTATCAAATCCAGTGTGGTAAGCGTCTAGAGAAAGGTTTCAGATAAAGATGAAGTAATTATTTGTATAACTAATTATACCCTGTTATGTTCTAATGCATTAGCTAAATATTGTGCTCCTGTAGAATCGATTCTATTATTTTGAAGATTCAACGTGGTGAGTGTCTAGATTCAGTGCTATTGATGATCATTAAATGAGTAAATAGATTTCAATCGTTTAACTGTATTTTTTTGTAACGCATTAGCTAAAAATATTGCACCAGTTTTACCGATTTTGTTACTTTGAAGATCCAAACTAACAAGTGTCTGAAGAAAAACAAACCGTATATATACGATTTAGAAAGATTTATGAATTTAATTAAACTTTATTCTGTTGTAATGCATCAGCTAAATGATGTGCTCCTTCGTCACTAATCCTATTAAAACTCAAGTTTAATGTAGCAAGCGTCTGTATTAAATAGTATGAATATATACGAAAATTGTTAAATAGAAATTAAGTGTTACTTTATTATGTAGTAATGCATTAGCGAAATACTGAGCACCTGTATCACCAATTGAGTTGTTTTGAAGATTGAGTATAACAATTGTCTATGTTTCAATATCAACAATTCAAATTATAGGAATGAAAATAAAACGAATCTTACCGTATTCTCTAATAATGCATTTGTTAAATGTTGTGCTCCTTCATCATCGATACGATTTTCTTGACAATTCAACATGGTGAGTGTCTGCAATTAATTATTTCGGTATACATTATACAGATGAAATCGGAAAAATCTAATTTTACTGTATTCTTGCTAAATGCGCCAGCTAAATGTTGTACACATTTAGCATCAATATTATTTCTTTCAAGATGGAGCGTGATAATGGTCTGCATTAAATAATGATGAAGCAAGTGAGATGGATGAATCTTTAGTTGATTGTACTTTGTTATGTTTCAATACATTTGCTAGATATTCTGCTTCTCTATTAGCGATTTTTAAATACCGGAGATTCAATGTAGTTAATGGCTATTTAGAAAAATAGAGAAAGATAACTTATTAAACAAATTCGAATAGCATAAATCTTACTAAATTTCGTATTGACACATCAGATATCTGTTTCCTCCATGTGTAATCCATCGGATTGCTGTTGACATTTAATGTCGTAAGCGTCTATATGTTGCGTTATACGGATAAGATAGATGACGAGCATGGATTTGTCTTACTTTATTCTGTTGTAGTACAATTGCTAGATAGACTGCTCCTATAGTCTCGATTTTATTTTCTTGAAGATACAATGTGACAAGCGTCTACATGATATGAGCACATGTAAATAGAATAATAACCTAAGAAGTTAATTCACTGAATTTTGTTGTAATGCATTGGCTAGATGTACTGCTCCTAAATCACCTATTTTGTTGCTTTTAAGATTCAGCGTGAGAATTGTCTATATTATATAATACAATCTATTCGAATCAATATAATCAAAAGGCATTTTTACTGTGTTTTGTTGCAATGCATTCGCTAGATGTTCAGCTCCAGCATCGCTGATGCCATTTTCCCCTAAATCTAACATAGTAACTGTCTAACAGTGAGAGATAAAGAGGTGACTGGAATACATGCGAAGAAACTTAAACATACTCTATTGTGTTGTAACCCATTAGTGAGATGCATAGCACCATCGTCACCTATTTGATTGTTGTGAAGATCTAACGTCGTAATCATCTTTATTAAATAATACATAGATAAAGGAAATAAAAAACTATACTGGTAGCCTCACTATATTAAGATGCAATGCATCAGCTAGATGACGTGTTCCAGCAGCACCAATGGTGTTGTCGCTAAGGTCCAATATGGTGAGTGACTGTATCGTGCAATACAAATGCGTAGAAACTCTATTAACAGAAATATAATCTTACTGTATTCAATGTCAAGTTTTTGGCTAAGTATTCTACTCCTGCGTCGCCAATTTTGGTGTGTTGAAGATTCAAAATGGACAATGACTGTATTGAATAAAATAAACACATCTGAGATAAATGAGTTCAAAACTAATCTTACAGTATTATGTTGTAACGCTTGAGCTAGATAACTGACTCCTCTATCGCTGATGTCATTATGACTTAGATTGAGTGAAGTAACTGTCTGTATGAAATAACATAGATGTGCATGAGATGTACTCATAGCAATCTGTTCTAACCGTATTGTGTTGTAACATATCAGCTATATGTTGCGATCCTTTATCATCAATTTTATTTCTTTGAAGATCTAATACGGTGATTGTCTACAACAAACGATGTAGACGTCTGCAAGATACATCGAGAAGGAAGAAATTGTACCGAATTAAGCTGCAATGCATCAGCTAGAGATTCCATCATGCCATGCTTGAATTTTCTTCCTTGAAAATTCAACATGCTATGAGTCTACACAAAATAAGAAAACAAAATATGTAATGAATGAGCGGATAGGTCATCCTACCTTGCTGCGATCTAATGCATTAGCTACAAACTCCATTCCTTCCTGGTCGATGTAATTATGATCGACGCACAGAGTGATAAGTGTCTAGTTAAAACAGCATAAATATCTATGAAATAGATCAACACAAAGTTCAAAAAAATACTCTGTTCTTTTGCAGTGCATCCACTAAATATGTTGCACCCACAATGCTAACTCGGTTGTTTGCAAGATTTAACACTATGAGTGTCTACAATGAATGGTTTAGATGTAAATAAGATCTATTGATAGACAAATAGATGTACTGTGTTATGTTTTAATGCATTAGCTATCTCGTGTGTTCCTATATCACTTATATCATTCCATCGAAGGTTCAACGTAGTCAGCGTCTGCAATAAATCATTTATATGCAAAACATATAGATCAATGAAAAATAATCTGACATTATTTTTTTGCAATGCATTAGCTAAATGTTGTATTCCTTCATTACCAATTTTGTTATGCTCAAGACTGAGTGTAGTGAGTGTCTGCATTGAATGATACGAATGAAAATAAGATGAATGAATAGATAGTTGATCTTACTGTATTTTTCAATAGTGCTGCAGCCAAATGTTGTACTCCTTCATCACCGATTCTGTTGTATTGAAGAATCAACGTCGATATTGTCTATTTAAGATATAACAAAGGACTGAACTTCAGAGCACATCTAATTACTTCTGGTCTCTTTTCAACGAAAAAAAGTTGACGTGGCAAGCGAAATACTTCAAATTTTTATTCAACAGTAATAAAAAAACAGAATCTTACTGTATTGCATTGTAATACAGATGCCAAATATTTTGCTCCGGTTTCATCAATATCGCTGCATGATATATTTATTGTTGTAAGTATCTACATAGTATCATAGGAATGCATATGATATAGATACATATTTAACAATTTCTACTCTATTCTGTAAAAATGCGTTTGCTAAATGTTGTACACCTGCACTGGCAATTTTGTTGCCTATAAGATTGAGTGTAAGAATTGTCTGCATTAAATGTCGCAATATATATATATATAACGTCGATATAGAGGTAAAATGTTTTACTGTATTGTACTGTAATGCAACAGCTAATTCTTCTATTCCTGTATCACTAATATTGTTCCATGCGAGATCTAGATTTTCGATTCTCTATCGAATACAATACAAATCGATATATGATATTAATAGATATAAAACTAATTTTACTTTATTTTGCTGTATAACATGTAATAAATGTTTAACTCCTGTGTTATCAATATTCTTCCATCGAAGATTCAATGTGGTAAGTGTCTGCAATAAATCATTTACTCGTATAAAATGCAATGCAATAGGAAACTGAACCACACAGTGTCCTGTGTTATTGCATCCAATACGCGTTGTACTTCAGCATCGTTACTGACATTGTTTTGAAGAGTTAAGTTAGCAATTGCCTAGATTGAAGATAAAAGAGACATAGCAGATAGACAAAACACATATAATCGATCTTACTATGTTTCGTTTTAATGCATCTCCTAAATATTCTAACCATTTATCATTGATTTGATTGCATGTAACATCTAATGTAGTAAGTGTCTATGTCGGATGATAATAGCAGTTTTGAGATAAACGAATAAAGAGTTATAATCTTACTGTATTATACATTAATACAGCAGCAAATTGTATCGCTCCCATAGTTTCGATCATATTATTTTTAAGATCCAACGTTACAAGTGTCTATATGATATGATGATATATGAATATAGATATATAACTAATTTACTGTATTATTAAGTAATGCATCAGCGAGATATTTTATTGCTCCATCCTGTATATTGTTGTGCTGTAGATTCAACATGTTAAGTGTCTAAATTGAATGTTGGTGAAGATGCAATCGACACAGATACATCAATGACTAAACTTACTGTATTTTGTTTGATTGCAATAGCTAGATATGATACTCCGCTGTTACAGATTTTATTGGATGCAAGATTCAGCGTTCGCAGTGTCTAAATTAAATAGCATACATGTATATGTGCATATTATATATGAACAAAAATCTGATCTAACAGTATTTAGTTTTAAAGCATTTGCTAAATGCTGTGCTCCTGCATCACCAATACGGTTCGATGCAATATCCAGTTCCTGAAGTGTCTATATAAAAATATTTAGCTATATATAAGTATGATAAATTATTAGCTAATTTTACTGTGTTGCATTGTAACACTGTAGCCAAATGTTTTACTCCAGCTTTACCAATATCATTTTTTGCCAGGCACAGTGTTTTAAGTGTCTATAAATAAATAATAACATCACTGGAGGTTTATCAAAAGAACTTTTGAAAATCAGATTTAGATTATTGAAGAAGGTTAAACAAAAATAGTATTTATAGCATAAATGGAACCGGTCCGGTCCGGGCGGAGATGTCAGACCGGCCGGTCTGCGCAATTTTTTAGTCATATTTCTATAGAGCATCAAATATTTGGTCTGTAGATGGCGTAAACAAGGAGAGTTAAGGTTTTCATGTGGATAATATAAAATTATAATCTTAAATTGTAAATGATATTATACAAAATTTGTGTTATTTTAATTCTATAAGACTATGCAGCAGTTGCATAGTCTTATAGAGTATGTGAAAGGTGATACTCTAATATTTGAAGTATGAGTTATACTTTCAAAACTACATTTATACTGTTTTCAACAATTCAAACTCAAAGGGGAAAAATCGTATTTCTGTATTTTCATATTTCTATCTATTTCGAAAGTATTTGTAAGTGTTTTTACGAATTGCTATGTATTTCCAATTTATTTTTACATATTACTGTATTTCTGAAATACATACAAATACGTAGAAATACTGAAATTTGGTCAAACTACATGAAAAGACCCGCCGGTTTTTTGCCAGTTTTAGCATTATTATAGACCGGCCGGTAACTGGCCGGTCCGGTCCGGGCAGAAAAAGCTCGACCGGTTCCATTTATGATTTATAGTATTTTAAATAACAGCAAGTCTTTGATCTTTTAGAAAAATATTGATTGAATCCTATTTTGCATCGACCAATCCAGCCAAATAATTACTAGCGACAATAAGTAATGTTCTTCTAATCTCTCGTTCTCCTGGTAAATAAGTCGAGAACTAAGAGATAATCGAAATATGTCTGAATAATCATGATTTTATAATTCAAACGACTTGCATAAATACTTGTTTTAGTTCTGACAGCAACGATTGTAGTTTATATATGAGAGCTAAAAGAGTTGAGAACTAATCTTACTTTATTGAGCATCAGTGCATTAGCTAAATGATTCATTTGGTCGTCATTGATGTAACTCTGCTCGATACTCAGTGCGGTCAGTGTCTGTGATGAATAACACAAATATATCGGGTAGACTAATAGAAAACCAATCTGACCGTATTATTTTGTATTGTATTGGCTATAAGCTGTGTTGCTTTTGAGAAATAGACATAATGCAGATATAATGTTGTGAATTCCTATGCATTATGTCATACGACTTTATACCAATGTAAAAGAAAAAATTAATCTTACATCTTCTTTATTTAATATTTCAACAAGATGTTCGAACTCTTGCTGATTAGGTATCTGGCATCTCGCATTCAATGATGTACGTGTCTGTAGTGAATGATAGTACTGGGAATGTTGTAAATCGTAACTTTTTTTTGTCTGGTGTTTGTAATGGATGAACAGTACGACAGCCCGGTACATAGGCTTCGTAACAAATTTTACAGGATTATTGTAACCGATGTTGTCATATGTGAACTCGTTACGGTACCCCTAATTTTTTGTTACAAGATCCCTGTTGTTTGCTTGCAAAAAAAACTCTGCAACTGTTACGAACTTCTTGTAAATAATCGTTACGATCACCCCGCAAATTCCGGTACGCAAAATCCCTGTTTTTGTTTTTGTATATTCCTATTTCTGGCGTTACGAAAGCTCTGTTTTTCTGAAAAAACAAACTCTTCACGTGACTCGAGCTGCAAGGTTCTGATAGTAGTGACTCTGAAATTTATGAAAGATGAATTGATTTACTGTCGTGCGTTGTAATGCATCGGTTACAAGTTGTTCTCCTTCGTCGCCACAACTGTTGGATTTAATATCTAACTTAGTGAGTGTCTATGCAAAAGAATACAGACGCATAAATAGTTGAAGAGCAGAGTCCTAATTACTGTATTGTGTTTCAATACAATCGCTAAAGATATTGCCCCTGCAATTCCGATTTTATTTTGGCTAAGGTTTAATGTTTCAAGTGTCTGTGCAGAATGAGCATATGTCTATGAGATAGATGGGCATACAATTTTAATCTTACTTGATTATATTTTAAGACAGTCGCTATGTCGCGTGCTCCTGCAGTTTTAATTCTATTATATGATAGATCGAACGAAATGAGTGTCTACATCGGATGAAATATATAAATATGCAACAGTTCAGCCAGCAAACATCATTTACTGAATTGTGTTCTAATCCACGAACTAAATTTGCTATAGCTCTGTCATCCAGATTGTTCTTACAGAATATCATGGTGGTGAGTGTCTACAATAGATATAGATGTAGATATAGAATTGTTGAATAATGTTGTAGACTTACTGTGTTATACCGTATAATATTTGCCCAATCAAAGCGTTCATAAGATAATCTACGCTGTCCAACATCCAATGTAGCGAATGCCTGTTCGAAGATAAGTTTTTATACAGTTCTATTTTAGAACTGATCCACATTATTTTATTAGAGAATCTCTATACTGATTATTCTTCATTATAACCATATTATAGATTGAAATATAAGACGACGAAAAGAAGCACTTGTACAGTGCCAATATAGTACGAAACGAATAGAAAAATGTTACTTTTCGATTGCTCTCCTTAATAATCAATTTTATTTCTCTTGATGTCTCTCGTGATATTCTTTCTCGTATCGTTCTTATATAATATATCTAAACATTTGTCTTCTTCAATATTCAGTGTAAAAATTGTGATTAGCTACAAAACATAGCTACACTCTACAAAGTGTAGGTGTCTTGGCGAACGTTAAAGGATCCGCATTCGTGTTCGGAACTTTTTTAAGCTCTGTAAGATGAAAACTGTTTCGTATCTATGATACAAAACCATCCATAGTTCCGTAGAATATATACGAAACCATTTCCAATTCTACTGGCCCACAGACTGTTTCGTAAATCTTATACAAAATCCTTCATGAATTGGTAGAATGCAAAAGGTTCGTATATATAGCTACGAAACCATCTATGATTCGATGAAATCAGAATAAGTTTCGTATTTTCTCTAAAGAATTGCCCATGGTTCGGTAGAATGAGAAATGGTTTCGTATGTTTTACGAAACCATCCATAGTTTTATAAAAAAAAGCATTTTGTTTTTGGATGTAGATAACTCTTATGATATAATGGAAATAAATGATAAATATGCGACGCTAAACGAAGAGAAAAATTTACCTGAAATGGTTGATAGCTGGTTATAATTGCATTCATACGTGTATTAATATTTTGCAGAGAACATAGTATAACCAATGCATCAAGATGGTCGAGTATCCGATAAATAAGTTCCACAGGTAATGTGTCAAGTTTTAGGCTGATTTTTTCAGGCATTAACGAAAACTATATTTCAGGTTTACTTTGTGCTTTAATATTGTTTTAATAAAAGTATATATGTTTTAGTCGTATTTTTTATATGAGTAATCGTATGTTTATCATGTGCAATAAATTTCTCATATTTACAAAAGGAACGTTAGATACTCATCATAAAACAAAACAGAGATAAAGAGTTTTATAATGATTGTGGCAGTTTTTCTTTGAGGATGAGTAATCTTTAGATCAATTCCAAGCTAATTGCGACGATTGTTTCGTTCTTGCTTAAGGAAATCGTCAGGTAAATTTGGAATATCTGCAAGGATAACTGTATGAAAATAATGTTTTTTTTATGTTCATTGGCATGAGAGTGTGGATGTGGGTGTGACTGTGGCTGTGGTTTTACATGAACAGACAAGATACCCACACGCTCAGGATATCTATTTTCGACTCCTCAAGAACTTTTAGATCCCTCGTCACTCATCGGAGTTTCGAGTACTCGAGAAAAAGAAACCTACCGGGAGAGTGATATAGAACGCTCAGGTAGGAAAAAACCTTGGAAAACGATAGTTTCAAGTGATAAACTTAACATTTCTGTTATGAAACTTATTTAAAAAGATTTAAAGATACCTAGTTTATTCAGTTAAATAAGAAGAGTGATGTTTGCTGAACACATAATTTTCTTAAATTCATAGCGTTTTAAAATTCGTTTCATTTTAAACCATCAAAAAGGACCTACAAGATTAGGATGTAAAATACTCTTATCCAACAAATTTAGAACGAATATTGCGTTATGAACCTCCAATAAAATATATACATATTAATGTTGCGTTGTATCGCGAATTTTAATTATTTGTTAAATAAGATACTTATAGGACATGTAAAACTTGAATAAAAACTGATTTGTTAGTTAGGCGCATCTCAGATACATATCTTTCCCATTTAAACCTTTTTGTAATTTTCGAAAATTTTTAGATGTCCAACGACTATTCAACATCAGTACTCATGTTCTAATCTTCTCCTCGGCATTTAATCGATAAGTTTCGGCGACGCGAAAATGAGACATCTATATATAAAAATTCTTTTTGATTTTCATCCTATTGGAGAAAGGTATTCGACTAGTCGAAACCCCCATGTATTGCTAACCCATCGCGGAGCCTTCGATCCATCGGAAAAGGGGAATCCGAGTAGTACATTTTAAATTTCGATGGGAACGGAAATCTCCAATCGAGTGGTCGAAATATCCATCGAATGACCTCTTGGGTACTTCTTTATTTCATATGAGCGGTGTACTAATAAACGCTTAGTAGCACTTAAGTGACTTTTATGAATTTAAAATAGAAAAATAAAGGATACTGAGGCGAGCTCATACTTAATATTTATTTTTCTATTGTTTCGCTAAACGAATTCAGCAGTCATTATCTCATTATTTTTACCAATAGTCAACATTCTATCTGTATAATCTATGTTAATACAGGCGGCTGAAACATTGCACGAATACAGTTATTCGAATTTCTATGGCTCACGATCGTCGTCGTGAGCAGGGTGGCCAGATCAAAAATTGAAAAATCAGAAACTAATCAGAAAATGGCAGTTTTTGGCAAATTAGTAGATCTTCCGCTAAATTACTGGCATCCAAAATTCTGTTGCATTTCGGTTCACTGACTGGAACTTTAGTTTCAAAGATATTTAAATAAAACGAAAGAAACAATAGTGAATATATCGTTTAGCTAATACGCAAACGTCAATAAAAGATACTTAATGTTGACCTTCTTTTTAAATTTAAAACTCGTTCACAAAAACGAGCAGAACTAAATCACATACATTCTGCGTAGATTAAGAAATCCAACGAGAAAAAAAACGTTAAATTCCATCATCTCGGTATTGTTATGCATATTTCATATCTTTTGGAATTTGCTCTAGGAACTTTGTTTAAAATAACGTATGCTAATAAAAACCTTCTCAAGAATTATTATCAATCACGTTTGACGATAATCGGACTATAAATGCTTCATACAACCGAAAATCAATTCTACTCCAGAATTTGAATGCGGCATATAAAAGATGATTAATACAGAAAATTGATGAAACACTATTGATTTATTATAGTAATGGGCTATAATCGTACCTAATTTCAGTGGCAAAGCAACGATCTGAAAATATTCCAAATTCAGAAAAAATCAGAAGATCAGAAAAAAATCAGAAACATGTTCAAAATTCAGAAATTTCCCCTAGTTTTTAGAAGATCTGGCCACCCTGGTCACGAGTGACTTCGACCAAAAAATTGGTCGTCTAAAATAAAAATCACGCTTTCAAAATATTTTCTTTTCTAAAAAAAATGTGACTTACTATTTTATTATATGTATTCGATGAAATGCTTTTTTTAATGTCTTTCAATTCTGTTACAATATTAAATAGTCATAAAGTGCTTATTGAAAGAGAGTAAAGAAAAAAAAAATTATTTTCATGGCAGTAGTAGAGAACAGGCATCTGATGGTGCATGAGTCATTGTTTTGAGTTTGAGAATGTTGTCACTGAATGTAGGAAAATTCTAAGTTGTAATTTTACAATTAATCAATCATTCATCCTATGGAAAATTCACACGAAGTAACACTCTTAACGAACGATTTTCAAACAATATGGCTTGACAATCACATAGAAGATATTAAAGAAGCTGATTATGTTCTTCGTAAACCTGATCTTGGTCATCTGATTGAATATTTGAAGATATATAAAGACTTTGAAGCTTGCCAACAATATATTGATTCTCTTGATAATGCAGATAAAGTTTTTCTCATTGTATCGGGTTCCCTTGGTGAGAAAATGCTACCGTCAATTCACGAGCTGGCACAAATTGTGTGTATATACATCTTCTGTGTTGATATACACAAACATCAAGAATGGGCCAAGAAATTTAGTAAAATTCGTGGTATCTTCAGTGATGCAAAACTTATGGTAGATCGTTTACAACGTGATATACAGTTGTTACTCTACCATTTTACTCCTGTAAATATTTTTACTATGCAAAATGTGAAAGAAAACACCTTACAAAATATTAATAAAGAACAAGCTACATACATGTGGTTTCAATTGCTCATTGAGACATTATTAAGGTTACCGCAGACATATCAAGCAAAGTGCGATCTTATTGATGAAAGCAAGGAACGATATCGTAATAATGATGTAGAAAAAAGAAAAATTGAACAGTTTAGTCTTGAACACACACATGAAAATGTTATCGAATGGTACACGCGTGATTGCTTTCTCTACCGATTAGTTAATCGAGCTTTTCGTATGCGAAACATTGATATCATTTTCAAATATCGTTATTTTATCGTAGATCTTCATCAACGTCTAGTCGAACTTCACCAAGCGCAATACTCGACAAAATCGTCCGTAGATATCACTGTTTATCGTGGTCAACTAATGTCTGCAGAGGAACTAGCCAAGTTAAAAGCAAACAAAGGTGGTATTTTTTCAGTCAATACCTTTCTTTCAACAACGACTCGAAGTAACGTTGCAGTCAACTTTATCACAGATGCTTTAGAAAGACCTTTCTTCGAGAAAGTTCTTTATGAAATTAATGTTAGTGGACATGGCCCATGGAAGTGGCCTTTCGCTGATATACATGATGCTAGTTGCAATGATGATGAACGTGAAATACTTTTTGATATGGGTTCGACATTTCGCATAGATGAAGTTTACGAACTTACAAAAGATTTATGGTGCGTTAGTCTTATACTACTCAATATAAACGATCTCTCGGTAGGGATCGATACAAAACTATATGATTATCTAGTTAAGAATAGTTTGGGGGAGAATGAACCATCAATTCTTATACTATGCAACTTTCTTGAGCAAATGGGCGAATTTGAACGGTCACGACAATTTTGTCACCTAATATTACGTGATAAACCTGAAGGACAACAGCTGATTAGCATCTACTCTCATTTGGCATTGATTGAATATGACTTAGGCAATATTCATAAGGCAAAAGCTATTTGTGAACAAGCTTTAGCTATGCAGATTGAACTGGACATTCAGAATGGTGGGACTACAGCATCATCAGCACTCAACCATCTTCATTCTCGTCTCGGTCTGATTTTCAGTGAACTTGGAGACTACAAAAGAGCGGTACAATATTACGAACAAGCTACATTGATCAATGCAATTGTTTTGGATGAAGACGATGTAGATCTTGCTGTTGGCTTCAATAATTTGGGTGTGGCCTATAAAGACCTGGGTGATTTCAAGAAAGCCCTGTATTGTTTAGAGGATCGAGCGCTTAAATTGCAACTATCGAAACTTCCTCCAAATCATCCAGACTTAGCTATCACATATTCGAATATTGGTGAAACATACTCGGAAAATGGAAACTATAGAAAAGCCCGTGAAAATCATGAGCGTGTGCTGGCAATCGAGCAGGTTACGTTACCTCCATTACATCCTTCTACGAAAGCAACGTTTAATAATTTGGCTGTTGTATGCGAGAAAGTTGGTGACTATGATGCTGCACTTGCTTATCATCGGCAAGCATTAGAAGTGTTGCTGCATTCATTTTCACTTGATCATATTTCCTTCGGAACCACATACAATAATATGGCTGTCGTCTTTGATTGTCGAGGCGATTTTGATGAAGCATTACGCCACTATGACAAAGCACTCGAATATTTACTTGCTAGTGTAGGCACAGACAATCATCCGGACATTGCTTCAACTTACAATAACATTGGTATGATTCATTTTCAAAAGAAACAGCTTAAGGAAGCTTTAGCATATTTTGAAAAGACTCAAAAGATCGAAGAATGTTTATTGGAGCCCAACCATTGTTCTCTAGGGACTACTTACAATAATTTGGGAATGGTATATGCAGCTCAAGATAGATTAGGAGACGCAATGGCATATCATCGGCGTGCATTAGCAATACGAAAACGGGTTTTACCAAAGAGTCACCCAGAATTAGCCACATCATATAACAATATTGGTGTTGTATATTTTAAACGAGGCCACTATAAAACAGCTATTGATTATCATCAACGTGTACTATCCATTCAAAGTGAATCTCTACCACATCAACATCCTTCAGTGGTTACTACCAAAGAACATTTGGGTGATGTTTATTTTCGTTTAGGTAATTATCGAGGAGCTCTCAAATATTTCACGGACGCATTAGCTATGGCACAAAGGTGTTTACCAGCTACACATCCGTTGATTAAGCAATACACGGCTAAAATGAATCAAGTGCAAGAAAAATTGCCAAAAAAATAAATATTTATACTTGCTTATTATTTAACATCTTTATGGTTTTGATAGATGAATAAAATTCCTTTGTGAAACACTATAATAGGCGGCAACAGGTATAACTTCGAATGTGAAATGTACCGTGCCATTTTACAAACTACTACAAGAGAGTATGTGGGTGCAGAACTAATCGACTTTGAAATCTTCATCTTTTCTTACAGAAAATTATAGAAAAAAAGATCATAGCTTGCATTAGGGAAGACTAAAGTTTTAATCTTTCCTGTAATATATAGAACGGCAAGACAGATCTCATTGACTTGAAAACTTTTAGTTCTATTTTGCATCAAATAATGATCCGAGAAAACAATTGTTTGCTATTTTCTCTTTCTCTTTCTCTTACTTCTATCCTGCTATCGTAGATAGGTTCGTATACGAATATAAATTTGTACTTTACAAACTAAAGAAAATATCGATTATTTATCTGTTAGATCAATCACTCATTAACAGCCGTATATTTTATTTATTTTATTTTAATGAATCTTAAAATCGAAAATCATCTGATAGATTTTTGGCCAAATTCTTCTCAAACAATCAATGGATATAATTCACAAATTAATCCTTTTGACATAAATATTCTTCATGCAAACAGATCAAGAATTTATTTCATAATCATGTTCTACTCATAAACTGATCATATTAATAAAAACCAACGTTCAGATCAGAACTGCGAACAGGCTTTTTCTCATTTCTTAATGAAAATTGTATTTATTGAAGTAGAAATTGATGATGTTTTTGTTCACAGAACGAACTTGAATAGATAACATCCTTTTCTATAGTAGAATAAATGTGGAAACTTCGGATTTCATCCGAAAGTTATGTGTGCTGCAAAAAGTGCATGGGGCATATGAGTCATTCTAGAATGTCTGAACACCAAAATTATCATGAGAAGCTAGGTAATTTGATTTCTGAATGCAGTTTTTGTGCATTTTGGGAGGTTTTTCAGGCGATGTTTCGTTAAAAAGCTACGATTTAGTTCAAAACTAGTATCAGATTCGGAATCAGCGTTAAAAACTGAGTCGATTTATATATGTTGTGAATAATTCTGAGAAAAATTTGTTTTTTGAAAAAAAATTCCTGTACTCCCCCTCAGGGATGGCCTGGTCAAAAATAGCAATTTTTTCGATAGCTCAGCCATTTCTTGAGAGATTCTTCTCATCTTCGAACTCGGCCGAGATATTCATGAGATTGAACTGTGTGGAAAATTTCATCATGGTCTGACTCGCCTTTCGAAAGTTATCGTGCCTACGAGCGGACACACTGACCGATTCTAGAGTGTACACAACTTTTTGAGTACACAAAAACAAAGTTTTTCCACTTTGTTTTGTTTCATCCGACTAAATAGAGAAAGATATTCTAGGGTTCTTGTGTAGCGTTGATAAGCACATATAAGATAACATAAGTTATCAACAACAAAAGAAACCATACACGCCAAGTTGTTGTTTTTTCTTTTCACATATCTTTAGAGCAAGTTTTTGAAAATATGCATCAATACAGCTCATCTATTGCTATTTTGAATATTATGGCTATACTATTGTTGAGTATCATTCCAAGTCAATCGACTCCATTGGATGATTACGTTCATGCTGAAGATCCTCATTTTGGTTGGAGCCTTATACAAACGTATGATGAAGCAGATTACAAACTATATATTCTTAATTTTACATCACAAAAATGGTACGATGGTAAGTATATTAAGAATTAGTTCAGAAACGAACCAGAAAGAAAATATCTGCATGATTAAGAATCATTTTCAAGTCGACCTATTTGGTGGCATTATCTATGTGTTATTGTACCACATAAATTAACGCGACCCAATACTGCTTTCATGCTTATTGATCAAGGAAGCAATACGGACCGGTTAGAATATTTTTTTCTAGAAAACAAAAAGTTTAAGTGAATATATTCTAAATTTCAGCATTCCACAACCACAAGATGACTTTGTCGCTTTGACATCGATGGTTGCAGTTGGCACAGGAAGTATTGCCGTTGATCTTCAAGATATTCCAAATGCACCAATCCGCTTTCCAGTAGACTTCCTTGACAGACAGAGTTACGGTTCTAAATTCTTTAATAATAGGCTGATCCAACTAATCGAAGTCGTCATGAAGATTCGTTGATTGCTTGGACTTGGAAAACATTTATTGATAATTCATCAAATCTTTATGCTCCTGTAAATATTCCAATGACAAAAGTATTCGATCATTTTCTATTACAGAGTATTTTTTACATAACTTATTTGAAACGCAGGCATCATACCGTGCAATGGATGCTGTTCAACAGTTTACAGATAATCAAAATATTACTACACCGAAAACATTTATTATTGCAGGTGCCTCAAAGGTAGATTTTCTCTTTATTTTTGTTACGGATATTTAATCGATTGTGAATGTAATCTATAGCGTGGATGGGCAAGTACGTTTCATTATTTATTAATATTATTGATTGCATGAATTTTATTTAAACTATTCAGCTTGGCTAACAGCTGCTGTCGATAATGAACGTGTCATTGCTGCTATACCTATTGTCATGGATATTCTGAATTTTCAAACTGTAAGATTTCCTTGGAAGGAGCTTTTTTTAATTTTATATTGAAAAAAATTGTTTTAATAGAACTTGCATCATCATTATAGGGTATGTTGAATATGATCAATTAGATCAATTTCTATAGAATTGTTCTAGTCATTGGTTGGTTGGACTTTTGCTTTCAATGATTATTTTCACCTGAACATCACCCAATATGTTGATTCAGAAATTTTGACTCAAATGGCAGAATCTATTGATCCATATTGTAAATATAGTTTCTATCGAATAGAGCAGTGTTTCTTTGATGAATTCATAGACTATTTCGATCGATACGCAAAAATGAAAATCTTACAAATACAATCGACTGGCGACGAGTTCTTTCTTCTCGATAATGAAGTTTGTTCAAATTAATAAAATCAAACGATCATTTTCGTTCTTTGGATTCTTCCTAGGCGGCTTTCTGGAATAAACTTCAAATTGCAACAGGTGGAACATATCTTCGGTAATCGTTTATTCTTGTTTTTTTCGTCTAAAATTAAATAGATATTTCTTTTTCTCTAGTCGAATACCTAATGCTGAGCATACATGCATTGGGCATATAATAAGTTTATTTTTTACGATGCGAAGTTTTTATTTGAGTGTATACGATGTAAATTTAAGATACAAACAAAAGCAAATCTATGAAACAAACCATCTATTTTTATTTTTTTCAAGAACCGGCCATTACCTCAACTTCAATGGATAAAATCATCGAATAATACACATGGATATATTCGTGCAACGGTCGATTTTAGCACTGGACCTAAACCCATCAGTGCTCTTGGTTATCGTGCTCGCACGTTAAACAATAAACGGTTTGATTTTTTTGCAAAAATATTTTTGCTTTTAGATATTGTTTTCATAAGTAGACGTGACTTTCGTCTTCTCATTGCTAATCCAGATGATCCAACTAAATCAATGGCAAATCCAGTGTTTTGGTTCACAACGGATCTTGTCATTGAGGTAAAATTTTGGGTCTTTTGAAATTAATAAATAACTTTCAAAATCGAATCAACTGTAGGCAGAAACAAGCACAACAATCGTCTATTCATTAACAATAGAAAATCCGGTAGATGGTTGGGAAGGTTTTCTCATTCAAGTGAATTTTCCTGGTCCTGACGGTACTGCATTGGAATTGACGACTGAAACACAAATTATACCCGACACTTATCCAACAACTGATTGTCACGATACGCAATGTTGGGGAACACTTGTCTAGAAGATTTCTGCCTTTTAAAACTATAATCATATTACTTCAATAAACTTTCTACTGCCAGAGTCAATTGTGTTTTATATCAAATGCAGCTTAGTCTAATCTGCTCTATTATTCGATCTACACAAAGAATAAAACAATTCCATTTTTCACTAGGAAACGGACACCTGTGTGGATTTATTTGAAAATCATCATCGAATCCATTAGCACTATTTTACGGCCCTTCAAGGGACAGTACTACGAACTTTCTGCATTGCAGGTTATGGATAAATGTAGACTGCTTTATAAGACAACGCCTTATTCGATAGAATCGAACTGACGCATGATAGTACTCTTGTTTTGAAATAACTATCTAAATGATTTTTTTTATTCTCTGGATAGGTGTTATTCATTGAAACTAGTACGATGAGAATTTTGTGTAAGAGTAAAAAGCAAGCAAATATTGTTTTCGAGATTCAAGTAAGTTCTGCTTCGGTAGGCACAGCATGGTAATTACCACGAGCATCAGAATTAGACACTCGAAGTTTCAGAATCGAAGCGATGACGATGATGATGACGATGATCGAAGCCAAAAGAGCGATAGCAAAAATGATACCAGCGGTAGTTGCAGTTCTGAGACTTGACTGTTGGGCTAGATTGACTAGAAATAATCGATATAGAAATAATCTGAGGATATCATGTAAGAATTGCTGACCTTGTGTACTGTTAATCAACTTAACAGAGATTTCTGTAGCTGCTGTGACCACTGCAATGGTCGGCAGCTCTGGCACAACCGATCTCGGGGATCCGATGGTAGTGGTTGATCGTGGAGCCGTAACCATCGTCGATGACATTGTGCCAATGATCGGAAGCTCTGACGCAACAGATCTCGAGGATTCGATGGTAGTGGTTGATCGTGGAACCGTAACCATCGCCGAGGACATTGTGGATGTGAATGTGAATATGGATGTGGTTCGTGTAGTTGTACTTTCTGGTGTCAATGATTTGCATGATCTGGTATTTATATTACAATTTTGGTATGTGTTGCAGAAACAGACCTCGTTCGTGGAAATAGGGCTAACGTGTAAAAAAAACGCAAAAGTTTTCGTGAAATTAAATGCACGCACATGGCCATTATAACGTACTGCACGGCATTGTTCAATCATAGCACGTTCATAATTATCGGCAACCAGTGCTTCTTGACGTATGATATTTTCGACAATATTAATACTGCAAAGTATAGCGTTGCTCCGTACGTAATCGAGGCACTTTGAAACGTTAATGAACGGATGTTCCGTACATAGCCTCGGTAACACTGATCGTTCTTCTAGCCCAGAACAGTTTACAGTATTCGACAAATCTTTCAATACAGTATTCATCGGTGGGAGTGGAGCATTCTTCATATTCCAGTTTTTACACGTAACTAAATCAATATTGCAATGACTTTCTCCACAAATACAGATGGTCATGTTCTGAAAAGTTTCATACGGCAATGGAGAACATGTAGCAATGCCAACGTCGGAATTTGTTGAAAATCCATGACAACGTTTGAGTAATTGCCGAAATGTATTAGTATACCATACACCATCGCGTACTGCAAACTCCATTAGTTGAACACGCTCACCAACATTAGTATAGACTCGAAAAACACAGAGTTGAAAATCACTAACTGTCATGGGAGCCATCGGCGAATAACATGTGATGTTACGCGGTTCTGAAATCTGGTTTGGAGGTATGAGAATAAGCGAGTGAACATATATGGGCAGCGTGATGAGCACAATGATAATCATTTGAAAATAATGGTTCATGTTTCACAACGCTGAAAATTTATTTTTATTTCGTGAAGAAATCACCCACGCGCAATCAATATGTTGACAGAGAACACTTTATGAGTTTGTTTTTTTGCAAAGTAGACGGCTGAATGTTTTGTATTGCAAGTCATTAATTGTTTTTCTCTTCAGAACAACACACAAATGGAACAATACAAAATACATTCAGAAAAGTAAAGTGTAAGTAATTGTTCTGTAGAAAGAAGACATTGTTACTTCGAGGAACAATCTAGATGCTGACGCGTGTGGGTGTGAAGCGAAGACCCACGCCCTCATTTTTTTATTAATGCGGTGCGAAGCACAGCATTTATGTAGTCCGTCGCGAGTTTTTAATGCGATGCGAAGCAGAAGCATTTCTGTAGTCCGTCGCGAGTTTTTTTTTTTTTTTTTAAACGAGATCGTACGCAAATTNAACACCAGATTCAAGCTTCGCATCGCATTTCGTATTCGAGTAAAACTTGAATACCATCTAGTTTTTACTCGAGATCGTACGCATCTTTTCTGTCGTTTTGTGACTCTATGATCTCGAGAACCAAAAATCGTAGAAAACTCGTTGAAACGCAAGATAGCAGTATCGAGATCGAACTGCTTACAGCTTTTTTCGAATCTAAAATCCGATGTTTCATTCGGTCACAAATATCATTCCAAAATGACGAAAATGAAAGAAATTTGTCAAGAGATAATTAAAGTGACGTCATCAACATATGTTAGCCACTATAGTCTATTGATTTACAGCTGATCTAAGATAATGAATCATGGAGATAATTAATCGATCAATCGAAATCGATCTTTAAGAATATATCGCTAAGTAAGAATGGAGTTTTCTCAGTGATGAATTTCATTATGTCGACATAAAAAAGTATTCAAGATTTCTCTGAATTGAAGATTTTTCCTGGATCGAGATTCCTGCTTCGCATCGCATTTTGTATTCGAGTAAAACTCGAATACCATCTAGTTTTGTTTCTTTCTAACTTGAGTACGCATAAAAAGTTCTTATTAAGTGACGCGATGATCTAAAGAACCATAGATGCTAGAAAATCTATTCAAACTAGATATGAAAGTATGGAGATCGAACTTGTTACATCTTTTTCCCAATTTTCAATACTAGGTTTCGTTCGCCTAAAAATATCATTCGACAATGATGATTTTGAAGGGTTTTATTGTTTGATACTTTCGCGCTAATTAAAATGACGTCATCAATAGTTGTTAACCAATAGTCTATTGCTTTACATCTGATTCAAGATAATGATTCATGAAAATAGTTAATCGTTCAATGAAAAAAATCGTTAGAAAACTGGTTGTTACATTTTCAGAAAGATCTCCTAGTGATGAAATTCAAAATGGTCGATTTAAGAATAGTGAATGCGAAATTTTCATTCAAAATTTGTATACGGAAATTTAAAAAAAATAATCGACTCTAATGAATCTTAAAGTGGATCATTTATTTTTTAAATCTTATTCTCATTACTTTCGAATATTCGGCTCGTGTGCTTCGCACCGCATTTCGTAGTCGAGTGAAACTCGAATACCATCTAGTTTTATCTGTACTTTTGCGATCTATGCACACAATAAATAATTATAAACTACATTGACACTTATTGGTTGTCGTAAAAATGATTTATCACGATAGTGAGATCATTCAAAGAATAAAAAGAAATATGCGGGAAACAATTCAGCAGATTATTTTGATGAATATTATTTAGGAATTGTTTAATTTTTCGATGCCTTTTATCATTTAATAGTAAATTACGGACATGACTATCTGATAAGCAGCACGCCCAGAAGAAGAACTGTGTGAAAAGAACAAAGTAAATGTTTCCATTGCTTTTAAACTTTCTTTACAACATGCAAAGAAATATAATTGACATGTGTGTGCTTTTGTCTGCGCTTGCTTCTTTAGCAAACAGACAGTAATTATGTTTCGTAACCATTCATAACATAGCAACACGTTAATGCAAACTTCTAGATGCAAGAAAACGAGCCGATCGACACAAATAAGTATAAATTGCACTCTCTGTATTTTGAATTTTTTCTTCTATCATCTCTTTGATAGACAAATTTTTTGTGAAACACGATCTGAAAGGGGCGTTGAAGTATACAGGGTAGAAATTCACACCGATCCCCCCGACCATGAAAGAAAAATAAATAAATTGATTAACCAATTATGGGTGTTCATCTATATTTATTGATCTTTAATCCAATCGTATCAGCGCAACTTTCCTAAATGAATAATTGCAGAAATCCTTGTATAATATATTTTAACCATTTTCATACTGATAACTCTATTTAACATGTTTTTAATTGAGATCATATATTGATCAGTTAGGCGATGAACATAACTTCATGAGGAATTTTAATTTGCCTTGACATCGAGCAGTTTTTTTAACCGTGAATAGTAATGCCATTATTACATTCCGTTGGAAAATATTGTAGCTATCAGTGTTGCTTTCAAGAAAAGTGAATTTCTATTTCTTCTGTATTTTTCGCATTCTAAAGAAAATCAAGAAGGTTTACTGTTGTTTTTCAATTCAGAAAATGCTTGAGAAGTGAAAACTGCATTTATTAAAAATTAAAAAGCTATGTTACGTCAGGAGATATCTGTCCTGCCATAAGTATGTTCTCTTTTCTTCTCGTATCTATTCTATTTAAGAGTGAGTGTTAATGCTTAAAGAAGAGGGACGATTTCTTGTGAAAAGATAATAATAAGAAGAAGATTGTAACAAGCTAAATTAACTAAAATCTATATCAATGTAGAAGCGAATAGAGATGCAATGCATCACGTCTCTATACTGAACACTGTTCGAAATTCGAATAGTGAAAGATATTTATTGGTTCTTATGGTGTTCTCAATAGAGAGACTTTTCTGTCTTCAATTTTTTCGTTATTTTACTTGTCAGCCATTGACAAAATCGCTTATGTTGACGCCATAATATCTTATTTAATTATTTTATTCTTGTTAATCGATACAAATCTATGGTGTTTCTTCCTAGTAGTTTTACGAAAGCTTATAATATGATAGGTAGATCAACTCCACATGCATATTCTGACCTATAATATTCATAACAATACACATCTGAGTGTTGTTGGGGACAACGAGGCTCTTTGTTTTCTATCGATATTGCCTGCAACCGAGAAAGCTGAATCGAATGCGACTGACATTGCTGGTATACAGTTATAACGACACGAAAATGATGATAAAATTGATAATACAGTTTTTTTCTCGTTTCAATAAGAGTGAAAATCTTTCCAAGATCTACTTGTAGAAATATAAACATTTAGTCCTTGCTTTAATGCTAATGGTGATGATGTTACGGTGGTCGTTGTTGTAGATGATGGTTGTTTTGCGCAGACACAAGTCTTAGCTTCATGTATTATAAAATGTTCAGCGTCATTAGTTTCTTCAACAGATAATTCTGCAAGCGTAAATGGATCCAAATACGCTGCAATCTATTAAAAGAATTAAAATATTTTTTATTTACAAAAATAGGCTGATATCTCTATAGTCGATTTCGGCGAAGAAAAGGTTTTGCAACCGGGTCTATCTACGATTCTAAGAGTATAGTCGGGAATCGCTAGGAAAATTTTCTGAAAGAGGTAGTGCAAAATAATCACTGTCTTCAAAGATTTTTAATTGAAATTTTTGGGCTACTTATCGTAGGAAAAATAGCTCGAATGGTTGTACTCTTGAAGAGCCGATTACTATTACCGCATATACAGATACAGAGAATTTTCGATTTTGATGCATAGAGTTATATGATAATCAGATCATATTGTGGAGTAAAGAGTTTGGCTGAAAAAAGGTCTTTCTAAGCACTTATTGGGCTAAAAAAATAAGTCCTTCGAAAACGCCCTGTGAATTAGGAGTGTGGGTGTGGGTTTAGAGTAGACACAATATACTACGACTTTTTGGAAAATTTGCCCTAGCTTCAGGTGAAACTTTTTATGGAATTTTATTGAAAAATACCGAAAAAAAACGGTATATGTACCATGAAAAGTATATTTATTGATTGATAAAATATATTCAACATAAAAAAGAAAATTTTCAAAACTCGTGTGCCCCTCTCCAAGGTTCTAGTGGAATGAGCTTACTTCAAAACGGAAGAATTTATTTCATATAATCAAATATCTGTATCACTTGCTTAACAAATTCATGTGCATTATGCATCGTAAAAGGAGCACTTTTTCGAAATATTGATATGAAGTTATCGAAAATTGAGTATTTCTCAAAGCAACTGTTACATGAATGTACAGTACTCAGTATCGAATTTAAAACCACATGTGCTAAAATTTCATCGAACCAACTTTTCCAGAACTTTTAAACTTCTAGTATTTGTAATACTAGCATTCAGTATGTTTCGAAAAACACTCATAAGAATTCAAGAGTTTGATATTTTTTCAAGCAATTCACGGCAATATTCTTAGAGCCCGTCACTCGACCAGATACATATTGAATCGAGCAAATTACATCATCACGATTATTCAGTTTCACTAGGAGTCGGACAGGTTTTTATGAATTCACTAATCCATAGGTAGAAGTACTACACTTTAAGATATCCAAATAAACGAATGACTCGAAAAACTGTACATGATGCAATACAAATTCATGAAGGTTTCATAGCTGCATTTGCAAGCTGATAAAAGGGGATTACAAAATGTTTATGCATTAATCTTTACCCTTGCGCCGCTGTAACTCCAAATGGTGGCAACATTTTTTTTTAATAATCCCCAACACGTTGTAGAGCAAATCAAGAGTTGCCAAATGAAACTTGCATGAATATGGTTGCTTCAATCGTTCTGCACTGAGATGTGAAAAACATTTTATGTTGTTTAAAAGAATGAAAAATATAGGTCACATGCAGATTTTTTTCCTTGTAGTTGTAGATAAAAAAATTGAACCCACATACTTTTATTATGCGGGGTCAAGAAGATAATTATGAAACAAAGAAAAACGTATGATCCATCAACAAGTACGAAATCCTTCCTAATTCATAACTTATTTTCAAATTGTAATCGTAGAGTCAGCATTGAAAATAATCAAAGCTGCGAGGCGATAAATTAGCGTCTCGATCAGGGTGGCCACATCTTCTGAAAACTAGGGAAAAGTTCTGAATTTTGAACATGTTTCTGATTTTTTTCTGAACTTGGAATATTGCCAGATCGTTGCTTTGTCACTGAAATTAGGTACGATTATAACCCATTACTATAATAAATCAATAGTGTTTCATCAATTTTCTGTATTAATCATCTTTTATATGCCGCATTCAAATTCTGGAGTAGAATTGATTTTCGGTTATATGAAGCATTTATAATCCGATTATCGTCAAACGTGATTGATAATAATTCTTGAGAAGGTTTTTATTAGCATACGTTATTTTAAACAAAGTTCCTAGAGCAAATTCCAAAAGATATGAAATATGCATAACAATACCGAGATGATGGAATTTAACGTTTTTTTTCTCGTTGGATTTCTTAATCTACGCAGAATGTATGTGATTTAGTTCTGCTCGTTTTTGTGAACGAGTTTTAAATTTAAAAAGAAGGTCAACATTAAGTATCTTTTATTGACGTTTGCGTATTAGCTAAACGATATATTCAGTATAGTTTCTTTCGTTTTATTTAAATATCTTTGAAACTAAAGTTCCAGTCAGTGAACCGAAATGCAGCAGAATTTGTGATGCCAGTAATTTAGCGGAAGATCTACTAATTTGCCAAAAGCTGCCATTTTCTGATTTTGAAAAAAATATTTTCTGATTTTTCAATTTTTGATCTGGCCACCCTGATCTCGATGAATATTGAAAGAACAGAGTTTATCATCAATGATTTCCTTCTTTTTATTTTTTTACAGAACAAACCTTATAAATACATATTGGGAATACTGGCTTGAACAGAGAGAGGATTCGTAGACAAAAATACAAGTAACCAAACGTTAGCTGCATGCTTAGATAGACGTTGGTATAGTTTCAATCTCGCCTCACTTAAGACATTAGTTATGTTTTCTTTTTTGACCATTGAGTATGGAGCTAAATTCAGATTTTTAAGTGTTCTTAAAAACAACAAAGAATATGTGCGCAATATTACAAGGTCAATAATGACGAGGCAAAATTCTTTCTTCATCAAATAAAAAAAAAAAATTTGCATTGCACGCAAGAATTTCTATGTACTCGAGAAAAAATAGCTTTTGATTGAAATACGATGACGACGATACTGACAAAGTAAAATCTCTGTTGTTATACAGGAGCAGCCAGCAACCGTAGTTGTGTGCTACAATTCAAGTATAAAAAGGCAAGCCAATTACTTTTACTATGCATAATTAAATAAATTCGTCTCTGGAAGAAGAATAGTTTTTTTTAACTGTTGATTTCTATTCGATATCATGACTGACATTTATTCCATCAAACCTGGCACTGTATTTGCATGGTTTATGCTGGTACTAGTTATTCGACGTATCGTTCTGATCGTGATGCTTATAGCATCCGGGATAGCAAAATCATCTGGAGCCGCTTCGCAACCTGTTGAAGTTGCACGTAATGGAAGCAGTGGAAAAAATGCAAAGGAATCAGATCAAGCCGATCTAGGTACACTCATCAACACAGCCATCACTAATGATTCAGAAAATGATACATACTTTCTTATACTTTACTTGGCAACAGGTATATATTCGTACTCAGTGAATGTTGATGTATTACGAATGATTGTATATGGAGCGGTCTACTTATTTGCCCGTATTATACATTCGGTTGTGCTCATATTGGAGCTACAACCGTACAGAACATTGGCATACTTGATTGGTTTGATGTGCACATTGGCTATTAGTATCGATCTTGTCGTTACAATGTCACGCAGCACAAACTGAGTCAATCAGATTCACAGAAACTTTTTATTTTATCTATTAACTGATGACTGTCATTTTGTTTTTGTCCGCATTTATTTAGTCCTGTGTGATAAAATTTACTAATTTATTGATTTGAACTTGCAAATTAACACTATGAAAGGATGGAATAAATTTGCTGAAATCAATAATTTTTTTTATTTTGTTTGTATTTTTGCGATCTATACATACGAGAAATAATTATAAAAAAAACACTGAGTTATTGTCTATCATAAAAAGAATCCATCACGATAGTGAGATCATTCAAAAAAGTATGAGTGAAAGCATTTTGCAGATTATTTTCATAAATATTGTGTAGGAATGATTGAATTTCTCGCTAACTTTTATCATCCAATAGTAAATTGTGGGCGTGTCTTTCTAATAATCAACAGACGACGAAGGAGCAAAATAAACGTCTGCATCGTTCTTACATTTAAAATAAAACTCACATGTATTTACCTTCGTCTTTACTTGTTTTTTAACCGACAGACGATAATTATGTTTGGTAACCATTCATCACATAGAAACACGTTAATACAAACTTCTAGTTGGAAGACAGTGCCTCCATAGAAATAGATAAGCATCAATTTAAAATAACTAAAAACACCTAGCACCTGAGGCAAATATTTTCAGACATATAAAGAAAATACCAATGGATGTTAAGCATAAGCAAAGAATGATACAATAATTTCATTAAATTTAGAATGGTAATGGATTAATACGATCGAAATATAATTTATTAAGAAACATGAAACCTCGAGGTAGAAAAAAATCGTTGAAGGTAAGCTTATATTTCACTCTTTAGAATATAAAATGTAATCAATCGTTGTAGATCAAGGATATGCACGTACGTGCTTGCGAAATCTCTTGATAATACTATTGTAAGTTATCTTCAATTAATAATTACATAATATTCAAATTCACGAGTATTGTCATAACAAAAGATGTGTTCGATTTCCTTGGCTCGATTCTATCGCTACCGGCTTGTTTACTATGCGAAAAAATGGCATGACCTTGTTATTCTTTTTTTTAATTAAGGATTTTGCTCAATTCAAATAGGCGCCGGTGGATAGATCATTCATAAATATTAAATTGATAAATTATAATGAGTTCGGCGTACATATAATTATTGGAAGAATCTTCTTCCATGAGAAATGGTTAAAAGTGAACTTTTGACTGATGTATTGACATACAATAGTTTTTCTGTTTTTTTTTCCATGAGATTCAATACATATGAAACAGAGAGTGAACGTAGCCGATTTCTTTCGAATTTCATGAAAGAAAAAGCGTATTATACTTGTGTTGTTGAGTTGACATTTTCGTTTTTTTTTTATCTAATAGTTTCGGGCTAGAAGAACTGAGATTTCAATTAATTTATTGTTGCTAAATTTTTCTGCCATTAGCCAATTTTGGCGATTGTTTCGATGTTAATAACTCTGTTAATATCCCACATACGCTGAACGTTTCAACTTGCTTGTCCATGCTGCTGTTGAGATTGAGAGAAAAATTGTATTTTCTAGGAATAAGCGATAAGAAAAAGGTAGACTTTTTGACAATTACTTTGCGAAAGATTCGTCTGCTTTCACCCAACGTTTTACTGGAATTAAATTTTATTAAAATTTTTAGATCAGTAAAAATTTCGCTTTCTTTTTCTTTCATGTTGTTCAGAATTTGACACAATATTCCAATAAGTCCTATTACAGTGAATATGTTAGAAAGTGTTCGAAAACTTGCTATCTATAGCATAGACACGGATTTTACTAGAATACATTGCTTAGATTTCATTTTCTTTTCGCATGAATCGTACAAAAAATCCAATACCCTCATAGTTTTCGGCTTTTGACATAATATAGCACTAAATTATAAAAATATCTAGTGATGCCTATGTAAACTACAGTTGAAACAGGTCGCATTATATTCTCTTCTCATTTCTATTTACGAGGATATGTGTTACCAGAGAACAATATAGCAAGATCCACCGACATCTGTCGATCATCAAATTAATAAGTTGCTTTTATCTATTTTTCTTTTATCATTGCCGTAGGTAAGTGATTGAGAAAGATTAAGTCACTTACAAATGATCACAAACGAATTTGCATTCGCTCTTGTAACGGATTGGATTGAGTCATGGAATTCTCATGATATTAAAAAAATAATGGCACACTATGCGGCTTCGGTCAGCTTTACATCACCATTCATTATTGAGCTAAAACATGATTCAACCGGAACGATCTCCAATAGGAACGATTTGGAAGCCTATTTTGTTCAAGCCTTGACGAAATTTAATGATTTATACTTTGAATTAATAGATATCTATGTGTCTATTAACTCGATAATTATTCAATACAAGAGTGTGAATAATATGATAGCAGCTGAATATATGGAACTTAATGAAAATGGTAAAATAGTTCGAGTCACAGCACATTATTCGAAAAGAAACTGACAGAGGGCAAAGGAGGATGTAAATTCAAATGAACGTTTTTTTCTTGTAATTTATTTAGCGAAAATAAAATAGTTGACAACGTATTGTTGAATTCGATTAGGAAGGCGTGGTATTCTGCTGCTTTTTTCTGTACAAAAACGCTTTAATAGCATCTCAATCTCATGCAAGCACTTTCTATGTATGCACCTACTGGATATTCTAGATTTTGAAAGTCTCGGTTCTGACTATATAAACTCGAACGAACTAAATCTCCTATAACAATAGATATCCCATGAATTTTTCACTGAGCGCGACTGTAAATCTTCAAATAATGTCACCTATTAGATGACTCATATTTTTTCAAACGATTATTGTTAATTGTGAATGTTGAAGCAACTTACACTTAGTTCTATTGTAGACTCTCTCTCTCTCTCTCTCGGCGAAATTTCCTTCAAGCAATAGATCAACAACTGATTATATCAATAGGCAAAATTTGTATTTATCACGGTTGAACATTGTGTCGATAGACCAACTTGTTCGTTGTACACTTCGATATCAGTAAAAGCTACTTTATTTCTTATCGACGGTATGAATGATACAAAAACCTGAGAGAATCATCGTTATCTTATATTTGGTCTCATGATTTTTGAAAGAAAACATGTTCTACTGCACTGTTTTTGTTCCTATTGCTATTATCATCATCTTTTTCTTTAAAAGACATACCATTTGCGTTAACTAATGAGTACAAATCAAATATGTGGATTATTGAAATGGCCAATGCATATCACAGATCTAGATTCAACAAGACGCAATAGATCAATATTGTGTATCAGACCATTTTAGTAACAATATCATTGAGTGCCAGTTCCTTCTTTCGAATATACTTTTTGGCCTGTTGGCTTTTACATTGGATAATTTTAGCTTTGGTTAATGTAGAAGCAGCAACTGATTATGTAATAAAAATTGATATAACATCACCAATGTAACAGTGCTACTTGACTTTTCGCTTTTTTCTCAGAAGCAAACACATAAGAATTCTGTAATTGAGTTGATTCAAATAAAAAATCTGACGAAGAATGAGAACAGATGCCAGTAACGAATAGGTATAAATCTTCTATAGAATTTTAACGATCACGTTCACTGCTGCGCAACAACTATAAATTTATCTTAATTCAATCACTCTTTGTCTAACATATTCCGGAAGGAACATGCTATTGTATTAATGATAAGATTGCCAGTCATCATGAACGATTCGTATTTATGTACTAAAGAACTCGGCATGGTCTTCGATCATCAAACAATATTTTCTCTTATCACTGACGTCTTTGTGACAATATAGCAGAACTACTGAGTCAGTGACTATTATTTTTCTCTATACTTATCGCATTCCTTATCTCGAATCTATCGGTAAGCATGTGACCAAAGCGAGCATTTCTTTAGAGTCATATCATTCCCAGCGAACTGTCGAACAACAATAATCGAAATGTTTAACGTCACTAAATGGATGTGTCTGATCTTCGTAGTTTTGATGATGATTACAAGCTGCGAAGCAAGAGCAATGAATAAATTTGAAAATAATGGCAATCTTCCAACGGAGCGTCACAACAACATTCGTCAATTCGTGCATGCAATATCTGGCAACCGTGGCCCTCCTTGTTGTGAATGTCCCGCTCATGCGCCCTGTAATGTTAAATGTTGCACAGTCGGCTGAATAAGTCTGGTATGGGATATTAACATCGTGTATTTTCTTTTGAGTTATTGCTCTACAATCTACACATAATTTTAATCCCTATCTTCTGAGTTAATTGAATATTTGTTTTTTCTATTTTTTAGGCAAAATATTGTAAAGATGCACACGCAACACCAAACAGAGCCACTGTTTTTATCCGACAGCTTTCTTTTCAAATATTTAATTTCGAATAAATTTTACTACCAAAACAGTGCTTTTATTTATTGATTTCAATAAACAGCACTAGTCGTATGGAATGCTTTGCCTTTCTTGTTATAAATTCGAAAATATGAATATTGCAAACGTTATTAATATTTCTTAAAGTCTAGATAAATATAATCTTTACACTTTTAAAACAAACACTACATAATTAAAATCTTTATTATTAGGTCTGGTAATATCCTATTGATTTTAAAGAATCGTTTTCTGTGACAAATAAATATACTAAATTGTGGTAACAGGAACTTTATTAACGTTGTTTTGTAATTTAAAAACATTTCAATGTGTTTTATGAAAGGAAAATATTGCCTATGGACTTTTGCTGCACAATTGAGATATTTGAAAAGTAAACCTTCTTCATTGCCGGGTTTTTCTTATTTTCTTAGAATTATAAAGGTCTATTCGAATGCTTCAACGCCTTACACGAGCATAACCCTGAGGGTGTGTGTGTAGATGAGGACTGATCTAACGAAGGCGCGCACCAACACGCTGTTATATTGACCAAAGAACCATAAAGACATTTTTAATCAGTAACATCTTTCAATTTACGAATTCAAGGAAGTTGTGCCAGAAATCTTAGCGATGGCAAGTTTACTCATCTTCTTACAGTCACTTCAATAAATATGGTTACGATTTTATCGAATATCAGCTGCAAAAAATACTGTGAAACCTATGAAAAAGTAGATACCGATGAAATTTAACGAAATAATCTCATTTCAACGAAGATTTGTTTGTTAAAATAACTTACCATTTATTTTTCCCATGATTCTCATTAATAATTTGACATGAAAACTTTTAAATCAATAGTTAGTTAGTTATATTTAAAATACAAGCGTTCAAATAAAATCTGATCGAACATTTGTGTTCGAATGACAGGAACATTTCGTTTTTCTTTAGTTTTTCCATGAGCGAGGATGATGACGTAGATGTGAATAGATAGAGTATCCACATTCACACCCTTGATTTCTAATATTTTCTTCGACATAAATTGTTTTACCTTCGAAATGTCTATTTTGATTATGAAGTATAATATCCAATTTATTGTTCTGCATTGTCTTATGACTGATGATTTCAAGCTAATATTAAGTATTTTCAATAAATTAAAAAAAAATCCTGTGTTTCTTAAAATATTATTCACAATCAATATACATCGTCTCCTGAATTGGTATTATGAGCACAATGAAAAACTAAAAAAAATGATTGACTGCATTATTTTGAGGTATAAAATGATTCATTCGCGCACTTCCTTTTGTTTTTGTTCTGTTGGCTGACGAAGCAATCGCATTTTACTTCAAACTTGTATTTATTCTTACACCAATACCCAATCAGGAGTAAGAGAAAAAAGAAAAACAGACGGTTTTTTTAGCATTTTTTATGAACGAGATTGTATGAAGAACAAATATTTGATGTGAGGCAATATTATTCGCTGTCGCATTCACTGCACGACTGAATGTTGTTCGAATTTGCTGACGAATAACAACATTTTTTGCAATGCGACTCAATGGAATACAACTATAACATCCATTGAACTTCGTCTCGACAAATGAACGTGGGACGTGCTTCAGTAATACAACAATCCTTCGAATGATTTTCATGTAGTTGTTTTGTGCGATTACCTGGGTGGTATGGGTGAGAATGGAGAAAAACGAGTGGTGCTAAGAGTGGGTAATGCTTTTTAATTGATGTAATATTTCTGTTTTTTCATTCTCTTTCCCACAAGAGCAGCCAAGAAAGGTTATAAAAACTGTCTGCATTTTTACGATTGGTTTTGTTGGAAAAAAATACTTTGAAGTAGGAATCAACTCTGATTTCAAATAGACTTTTATTCATCATAGATGAAGATATTTTTTTATTAATCCTCACTATTATTTATCTTTAAATTCTATGTTGAATCATTTCCAGAAGTCATTTTAAAAATATTCTAATCGCCGATAAATTCTATAATGACAACAGAGCCATTGGATCCTGAAAACTCGGCAAATATAATGAATTGTGAAAATAACGAACGCAGTTATCAACACGATGTTAATTTATTCTATCATTTGAATGATCAAACGAAAAATTTGGAGGATTGTATTATCGTATGGTTAGATTTGCAATTCTGTGCAAAGCCTCATTATATTGATAAATTACGAGGTGTTGTTAACTATCTCAGAATATTCGATAACACGGACATTTGTATGCAGTACATATCTGCCATCAAACAAGAGCAAGTTTTCTTAATTATTTCTGGTCGAACTGGAAAACATATTATTCCATTAGTACATCATCTATCTCAACTTAATTCTATATACATCTTTTGTATAAAAGATCAAAGACATATAACATGGTCCTCAAACTATTCGAAAGTGAAAGGTGTCTTTATCGATGAGGATAAACTATATGATCGTTTATCAAAAGATGTTCTCTTATGTTCCAGTCAAACGCCTATGAGCATCATTGAATATGAACGGACTTCACATGCTTTGAATAAAGATGGAAAACCGTTGTTTTTATGGTCGCAAATATTGTTACAAGTCTTACTGCGATTGCCGCCATCGTGCAATGATAAAGAAGATATGATAAATCAAGCTCGTGATCAATATTGCGGTAATTTGGTTGAGCAGCAAAAAATTGATGAATTCGCACGAATTTATTCGTCAGATACTGCTATTAAATGGTACACTCGGGACTGTTTTGTTTATCGCCTTGTGAATAAAGCACTTAGAACAGAAAACATCGATAATATATTTCTATACCGATTTTTCATCGCTGATCTCTATCGACAATTAGAACGTTTGTATTTATCGCGTGTACCCGATGGCAATTCTTCCATGTTAACATGTTATCGTGGTCAACTTATACCAATAAACGAATTTGAAAAGCTCAAGTCAAGTACAAATCAACATATATCGATAAATACATTCTTTTCGACAAGTACATCTTCATCAGTAGCTGTTAATTTTTTTATTAACGGAGAACAACATGATGGTACTGTATGCGTCTTATTTGAAATTCTAGTTGATATCACTGTACCAACAAAGCCTTTTGCGCATATTCACAAGTGGAGTGTAAATTCAGATGAAGGCGAAGTATTATTTACTATGGGTACTATTTTTAAAATTGAATCTTGTGACGAGTTAGATGGTTTTTGGCACGTTAAATTTACGCTGAGTACTGAACCTGACCAAGAATTACAAGCATTGTTAAAGGATTACGAAATAAAAATTGGTGAAACATCATCGCTTCTAATATTTGGCGAATTTCTTCACAAAATGAATGAATTTAACAAAGCAGAACGCTATTATCAAATTCTTATACGAGAATTACCTTCTGATCATGTCGATGTTGGTATGGCTTTCAATAATATCGCTACCATCTGTACAGATCGAGGAGAACATAAGAAAGCAAAAACTTATTTACGAAGAGCTTTCAATATATTTAGGCGAACATCATCTGTTGATGATTTGAATGTGGCAGAAATTTATCTCAATCTTGCTTCTGTTTATAGCCGGATCGACAATAATAAAGCTGCTTTAAAGCATGAAAAAAAAGCTTTACAAATTCAGCTTAGGATTCTTCCAGATAATCATCTAACTCTAGCAACAACCTATAACAATATTGCTAATACCTACGATTCGCTCAGCAAGAAAACAATTGCTTTAAAATATTATCGTAAAGCCCGAGACATTGAGCTTCAGCATTTGCCTCCGAACCATCCCGATCTTGCTGTTACATATAATAATATGGCTTCCGTGTATATTGATATGAATGATCATCAGTGCGCACGTGAATATTTAAACAAAGCACTTGAAATACGCAAAGAAACTTTGCCTTCTTGGCATCCAGATTTAGCTGATTCTTATCGACTAATAGGTACTCTATCCGCAGAGGCTGATGACACTACTGATGCTCTTGAAAAATATCAAGAATCATTAAGAATTTTATTAAGTACGCCAAGCCAAGCCTTGGATCATCATCGGATATATCAACTAAACAGTGATATTGGCGATCTCCTATATCAGAGACAGTTTCATCAATCAGCTTTAAGGTCATACAATATGTCTTTGTATCATCTGAACCAATGCGAATTTGTCAATCCATTTGATAAATCTATTGTTTACAATAATCTTGCAGCAGTTTACATCGATATGGAAAAATATAATAGAGCAAAAAACTATTGTAGGAAATCAATAAGAGCTCAACGTCATTGTCAAGATGTTGAACAATATATAAATAGGTTTAGAAGTCGCTTACTAATGGCAAAAATTTTCCATGCACAGAAGTCTGATGAAAAGGCCTTAGTTATTCTAAAACAATTACTCGGCCAACAACGTCGTTTACTACCTGATAGTTACAATGAATTATATAATGTTTACGAAACTATGAAGTGTATATACTTCGATAAAGAAAACTACAAGAAATCAGAATACTACATTAGGAAATCTATGCAAATTCATTTAAAATTTATGCCCGAAAGAAAACTTGATGTTGGCTTTGACTATGAAGCATTAGGCGCTATTTACCAGAAGAAATCGTTGCCAAAAAAAGCTATTAAATGCTATAAAAAGGCTATTAATATCTATCTTAGTGCTAAACCACCACCTCCAAGCAATCTGGCGAATGCATATTTTGCTCTTGGACAAACGATTCTAAGTATTAAAAAATACTCAAATGCAAAATTGTATTTGATTAAAGCACGTAAACTTCGTCAAGAGAATCAATCATCACATGACTTTCAAATTGCCGAAATCAATATTGAGCTTGGACGCCTTGAGTACTCTCGAAATAGATTTCAAATGGCCACAAAATATTATCAACTTGCTCTCAGCATTTGTGAACAACAACCAAGACTAGTTCATCATGATTTAATCTACTTACATAATCTATTAGGAATCTCTTTTATTGGCGAACAGAAGTACGATCAAGCGATGTATCATTTTCAAAAAGCGCTTGAAATTTCAGAAGACCGCATATCTACATCATGTGATGAAGATGAACAGATTGCTATGATAATTGCAGAAGTGTATGGCCATATTGCTGAGATCCATCTTCGTGATAAGAAATTTGACGAAGCTTTGAAGAATGCAAGAGTCTATCTTAAACTCTCAAGACAATATCCAAAGCGCTACTTTAATTTAAGTAATAGTTTGCTATTGATGGGAAGTGTTTATCGAAACAAGGAACTTTATCAACGAGCACTGCCTTTTTTGCGAAAAGCTCGTCATCTCAGTAGTAAATGCTCTAATGACTATCAAACTGAACTATATCCTTACATTTATGCTGAATTAGGCATATGCTACGGCAATATGGGTGATCATCGACATCGAGTAGCGTATAAATATTATCAGCTAGCGAAAAACGCTTCTCTGAATTGTCAAAACGACAATTTTCTGCGAGACCTCGACGAAAATATAAAACATATGCAGACTCAGTAGAGAGATTTGCCAGAAAAATGATGGCGTGTGTCAGTATGGATACTATATCTATTCACACTCAGATTCCACACCCCCGCACCCTCAAGATTTGAGAAAGCATATTTGCGAAGTAAAATACCAAATCCTTCTTTAGAATGTGGATATAAGTAAATGGAAAGTCAATATCCAGAAAGCGTTCAAAATTGAGTAAAAATAAAATGGTACAATCATTGGTTTTCTTCATTGCGGTCTTTCAAGCGTTGTTTGGAATACCAACAGTCATAGAATGCACAGCAAACACATTCGCCGAAGTTAGTTCGAGTGCATCGATTCCGTTCCAGTTCAAGTCCACTTTTGTCAGAATAAATTTGGTGAAATCTATACGTTTCTTATACACCTTTTCCCCACTTATCAGACCGCGGAAAATAATTTGAGTGAATTGTGCTAATGCACTGATCTCAATGCAGTTGACAGTGAAGAGTTTACCATCGGCATTTTTGATAATAGTGGGACTACCGTGAAGTCGAACAGTAAAAGCCACGACAGTATAACGATCAAAAAGAGGAATCAAATTGGGTTCAACTCGGTAGCTGTACTTCTGATCCATATATGTCATATTTGGCCAGATGAACCCGAAATAAGGATTTGGAATATCATCACATTTGTCTTCAGTACGTGACAAAGACGTGAATGTAATTTTTCTTTCTAAGAGCAACGATCCTGTACAGTCTAAAAAAAACGGTTTTTACCCGACTTAAAAAATGTTTAGCACTTTTCTTAACCAAAACAAGATCCTCACCGACTGTGCCTTTTTTTTAGACACCATACGCAAAAATGGCGTTCTGTTAACAAATTGAAAAACTTTCGAAGTTCAACAGACTGCCTGGAGGTTTTAAAACAAAACCTCCAGAAATTTGAATTGAACTCCGAAGGTTTTGTAGTTTTCCAGCAAGTTTTTATTTCCTATAAGAATCGAAAAAAGTTCAGCGGTAAAGCATCATTGCGTATAACAGGAGGAAGATCCTTTTTTTATTTTAGTAACGTGTTAAACATTTTTGAGTTCGGTAACAAAATAATTCTTTTTATAGGATATGCAATTATTTACAAAAGGTCTAAAATTTTTAAAGTAATTATTCACAGATCAATTCAGAGCTTTAAAACCAGCATTCATGTATAATGTTAGACGTGCAATTGGAATTGAGTTATTGAACACTGCTTCAAATGTTCACGTATTCACTTGTTCACATACTGTGCTCAGATATTTCAATGTTCCGTCTCAGCGGCACCCTTACCATGATGTATAGACTACAGTTTACTTTGAGAGAAAGTATCTGGATGTCTCACATAGGCATGCACCGAACACGGGTACAAACCAGGTAGTTCTGGTCAGTACTTTTCTGGTTCGGTCATACCGGGTGCCCGGTACTACCCGGGTTTCACCATACCCAGATTCGGTACTGAGATTCGCTGATCTACTTATTCGTATCCTTCGAAGCATAGAAATGAATAATAAATAGCACCTATGGATATATAGTAGGTGATAAAAGATGAATTCATGTCAAAGATCCTTTACCTTGCTCAACCTATCATAGTTAATGTCATTTATCAGGAACGGATACAGTTAAATGAGCTTCTCTTAATATTTATCCTGGACTCAAATACAAGAAATCATCGAATGGTTCTCCTTATTAAGTTTTCCGGAAATGCAGATATATGATCTTTTCCATCGGTCTACTAACAATATCAATACTAATAATGCTAATATCGATATCAAAAATACTAAATTGTATCGGTATTGGTAGTATTCGAATTCTCACATCCCTACTTAGACTATCAGAAGGATCATCTCAATAAGGAGAACCATTCGACGATTTCCTGTAGTTGAGTCCACGAGAAATATTCATAAAAGCTCATTTAATTGTGTACTTTTCTGATAAATAAGATTATCTATGATACATTGAGGAAAAGACCATAAACCTTAGAAATAGAATCATTTATTATTATCGATCTATAGGTATTATTTGTTATTCATTTCTATGCTTCGAAGGATACGAATAAGTAGATCCTCGAATTCCAGTACCGAATCCGGGTATGACCGAACCCGGGTAGTTCGGGTTCGGTGCATACATAATCTCACTCGAGTATGTTAAAAGTTAAATATCTGAATTAGAAGCTTCAAATATTAAATAACCTAAGTTTAAGTGCAGGTCTTGCACGGGTGAGACGAAACCAAGGGAAGGCTCGCGCCCTGAAAAACTTCATGAGTAAATTAAACCATATCGTACTTTTATTTTTGATTTCTGGAACTCCGCTGGTTGAGGCGGCATTCACAACACCAGTAGTAATAGAATGTACAGCAAACACATTCGCCGAAGTTAGTTCGAGTGCATCGATTCCGTTCCAGTTCAAGTCCACTTTTGTCAGAATAAATTTGGTGAAATCTATACGTTTCTTATACACCTTTTCCCCACTTATCAGACCGCGGAAAATAATTTGAGTGAATTGTGCTAATGCACTGATCTCAATGCAGTTGATAGTAAAGAGCATACCATCGCCTCTTTTAATAATAGTGGGACTACCGTGAAGTCGAACAGTAAAAGCCACGACAGTATAACGATCAAAAAGAGGAATCAAATTGGGTTCAACTCGGTAGCTGTACTTCTGCTCCATATATGTCATATTTGGCCAGATGAACCCGGCGTATGATTCTGGTATATCGCCATGCCTTTCTTCAGAATGTGGGATACCAGTGAATGTGATTTTGGTTTGTGTCGGAGGTGCACCTATCGAAGTGAAGTTTCATAAGTGACATTGCCTTTCACCGTAATTAAAACTTTATCATGAATATGTATGTTTGACTGAAAAGAATACTTATATCTGTCACATCATGTACGAAAATATCATGATATAACATGAATAAAAGAGCTCGTTGTCTCTTCTAGTCTAATTGGACTAGTATATCTACCTGTACAGAACCTAAGCAGAGTGCGCATGGTTCGCATCCCATAATGAGCACACCTTTTTTTTGTAATACTAATATAAGATATCCTATTCAACCGAGTCATCTTACTACACACTCTCCCTGCCACTAAAATTATTTTTGCCTGAATTTCTATTAGGAGCACGGATTTCCCGATTCAAAGACCATATCGCATAAATTATTTTGGAACTTGAAGATTTTTTGCCGAATATAATGTCTGCGGGTTTCGCCTCGTAACAGTAGAACCATTGTTATCTTTTGCGTTTGACTTACGTACTATTTCGTACCAAAAAGGAGCGCTCTATATTAAAAATTAATGTGCACTGTTGGATCGAACTGTTTGGGTTCAGAAAACTATAAAAAGCCATTGGTTGGAAATTAAGGAATACTAATGATCGTGAAACTCTTTTAGTTTTTTGTGAAGAAGTTGCAAATCTATACAATACTTTTTTTGTCTATTGATTGTGCAAAGTTTGTATTGACAGCTTTGGAGCTATTGTCATGTGCATTACTGACAGGTACAGAGATAGGTAGCGCTCTTTTTAATTTGAACGGTTCTCCAAGCAACTTTTGTTCTGGTTCGACTTGTTTAAGTTGAACAATGTGAAGATCTGGCGATGGGTTGATCTGATCAACGACTTGAAAGTAGGTACCTGGCAGAAGTAGAATTTCATCTTCATTCTGATAATATGAGTGATTACGAATATTTTTGCCATTATACGCTTGGATGCTAAAAAGTGTCCTCGTGTTGGTCGTACCCAAATAGGTGTTCGATTCAAGAACACTGAGCGACTGAGTACAGGAAGAGAAAGCCCACCATGCAACATGTGTACCTGATTTGTAATCTTCAAACCTTTTCTTAATACCTCGCCATAAAACTTCACCTTCAACGTCTGGGAGTTTGAACAAAGCAGTTAAGAAGAGTTTGAGATACGAAAACCATATCGGAAGGCTTTCACGGCACTTATTTCTAAGAGCGGCATTTAATTTATGATACAAAGCGTCAGGCCACTCCATTGTATATAAGTATATAGAAGCAGATTCATCAGTGCTAAGCGAATCCATTGGATCCTTAAGTATTATTCAAATATGAAGAGGCATACATGAGTTTTATTTTCTATGTACCAGATCATCCTCTCTAACAGTAAGACGTTATTAGTGAATAACTGCTACAGTTTTGTTTCGCGATCCATGCATGTCGCTCGATATCTTCAATGAAAGGAACAAGAGGTTCACACGCTTCTTCAAGTGACACTGGGGGATAATGTTCATATCCGGTGATAGGCTGAAGCAGTTGTTTAGGCTCCTTTTCGAGGTCACCGAGCAAGCGTGGATTATATAACTGATGATGTCGCCTCGGTATGCGAAGAGCTGGACGAGGAGCAGGGCGACCAGAAGGGGGACGTGGTATTTTCTCCATTAATGGACTATTCAGACGAGTTGCACAGTGCTGATCTTCCATAATGATTACACGCGCATCCATCTGCCGTACAGCAATATCTGCATATGGACGTAATTCGAGGTACTTCCCAGGCCTTCCATCCTGCCCTTCAATCGTTTCGTGATCTAAACCTGAAGACAAATATATGATTAAAAAAAGAGTATATCACTCAGTCAAAAACAACATAGCATTGAACATATTAGGTTTAATTTTCTTTCATACGTACATGTGTATGGGTTTCGATATCGATATTGGTGAGTGCTGCTCCGAATATGGATGGAGTTATATGCTTACATGGGCATGAATCTGGTGAGTAGTCAAATCAGGTAGATGGAGGACAGTTATATGCAAGAAAGAGGTAATTTTTTCCTGTTGATATGAGTAGGGTGCGGGTGAGGGAAGAGAGAGAACAACTGTGGGCTGATTGGTTCTGTGCGTTGTTGTTTATTGGCCATGATGGTGTAAATACATGATGATGCCTTATTTTCCCTACTTGCATTTACCTATGTGAAATATAGTCGTGTGGTTTCTGTTGTGCAGGGTTAATTTAATTGCTAATGGCGAGAGTAGGCGTGGGTGTACCTTAAGGTATGGTCGGTATAGAACATAGCTGTTTACGCTAATATTACCTTCATTGTTTTTCAATCGCTTGACGGGTCTTCGTTTTGAGGGATCACTAATCGAGATTTGTATATTCTGTTGAAAGTCAATGAAATAATTCTTCAAAACAGCACACGTTTGTTGGCCCATGAAGGCTTTTTCAATAATCTGATTTTCCTCTTGGGAATAACGGCGCCATTCAGGTGGTTCAGATTTTGAAAAAGGATTCGGGTTCGATTGCCACATCCATTGTCTGCAGGTAGAAAATTCATCATAGCGAATTGCATTCTTTTTCATGAAAAGCATTTCTATTGAAAGTGATAGTCACTGCTGCCTATTGATTGATCTGAAAGAACCAGTAAAGAAATTTTTCATCTAACGAACTAAAAGAGCTTAAGTTTATAGGTCAGATGACAAGAAAAATATCATTCCGCTGACTTAGGGTGGGATTTAGGTACCGGTCTCCTGTTCGTCCACACCGGTACTCACACACCCTGCATGGGGAGTTTAAATGATTAAACGAAAGAAACTCTGAGCTAGGTCGCCCTTTTTCCCAGAGCTACAGCTAGTAATGGTTATAGGAAAAAAAGTGGCTTTCGAAACTGTCTTCGAAGAGCATCATATACTGCAAGGTATAGCCGAAAGGCAAGTATATATTATTTTCTTCTTCTTTCTTTCTAGCGTCCACGGGAATACTTCTAACAGTTCCAACTCTGGAGACGTGGAGCTTTGAGGCGGCTCAGGTCAGGTCTCAGAAGGGTAGATACTTATCAGGTCTTCTACTCAACGATCGATAGGCGTAGAGCTGGAACTGTAATACAGTTACAAATGTGTTAATATAATATTTGGAACGTAATTGATTATACCTATCTGATTGCGCATGCTCTCTAAAAGAAAGGTATTCTGGAGAACAGATTCAAGTAAGTATCCGAGTCTGAGGAAACTTATTTTCACCCATTTCCAAGAATACCTTTGTTTTTAGAGAGTAGCTGGCTGACTACGTATACTTGTGTGTACACAGCCACTTCCAAAATTTAACCGTATTAAAAGACTCATCACGTACGCCTAGCCACAAAGAAATGCGTTCATTAAATGGATGTTCGCGTAGATTGAATGGAGACTGATACTAATAGCTATATTTATTTTCATTTACACCCTCAATAAAATCTATACTTGCACTGTGTTTATGTTTCCATTTTATCGGTAGTAATGTCAAACATCAGAAAGATCATAAAAAAATATTTTGATGTTTGTTTATTCAAGTCTTTGACGCTAGTACATGTTTTACGTTTCGATGTGAGTAGGAGAAGCCATCTAAGCTACTGAGAAACAGAAATATTCAGTATTTTTGTAGCTATTCACTGAAAATTCTCATTGTAAAACCTGCCATAATTCCAACAGGGTTCAAATCTCCTTAGATTGTCTATATGATTCTAGACAAAAGTAAATTTTAAGATGTTGTTCGAAATGTTTGAAAAGTGCAGCAATATTATGTGATATCTCGGCATCATTTCCAATCAAGCACAGTGATTTGCCATCGACTAGCTTCATTCGATGTCATTTACTGTTAAATTCGTTACAAAGTTTAAACAACAGGTTAAGTGTTAGGGTATTCATAGATGAAATGAAGGCCCACTCACCCACATATTTATGTTACGACTCCAGAAGTGTTTGAACTTTTCGAAGCTTTACTATGGTATCATGAGTGAAAGTTTCATTGTAAAATCAACTCTACTGGTAAACAGCTTTGCTCTCTCATTTTCTGTTCCAGGAATATACAAAAAAGTTGTTCCTAGTAAGTCAGTTGATTGTTATATTTATGCTCATACATCTTATCATGTTTTACATTTTTCTTGTCGCTTCATAATATTCCTTACATATACTTACTTACACTGAAAATATAACTTCAAAGTTTGCTGATCGTTGTGATTTGATCAATCTCTGAATATATTTGGTTTAGATTGCTGAGTGAAATTTGCAGTTTTTTCATCACTACCGTTTTGTCTCAAGTGTAGCCTTTTTTCGTGACGCTTACTTTCATCCTTACTTTATATTATCAATGGCACATGGAGACGTGTGCGAGGTTTCTACTATCTAATGGAATTACGCATGTGTAGTGAAAAAGAAAAGCAGAAAAAGGACAACAATAGTCGTCGGCAACATTTAAAAATCATCAGGGTCTTTCGATTCCTATAACTAAAATGCTAGACAGATCTTTCCTGTTGTTTTGATTTCTAAGCAATCTAGTTCTCTTTGTGGCGCTCACCATGGCCACGTTGCTATCATGAAATACCTAATTTAAGTTTAAATATAAATACAACTTCGACTTTGCAATATCAGCTTGAAAATAAAACAGTGACTCATACAGCTACGACAAAAACGTAAAAGATACTGTAAAATAATGGACAAACAATAGACATCGTTTTTTAATGGGTTATTGGAAAATTGTTCCATTATTTGGAAGATGATACATTAAAATGCATGAAATTCCCAAGATTGAAAAGATAGGGTCTAGAAACCGTAATTCGCCTATGTCTGTCGGCCTGTAACAGTGACAAAAAATGACTATTTTAATGTCACAAATCTTAGGTGGATACAAGGGAAAACACGTGAAACAGTTGCCTTTCCTTAGTAACGGAGCCAGGGAAGAGGTTAGAGTGAGCCCCTTTCTGGAACTATGAGTCTGTTATCGCAAAATTTATGAGTCATGCCTTCTAGTAGCTGGGTGGGGATCAATCGCAACATCGCCCCCACCACCAGGAGATTTTTAAAACATGTACTTTATTGTTTAGGCTGATTGAGCTTCTGATGCCAAGCCTACAGTCGGGGTTCAGCCACTGCACGGCTCCTTGTCTTCTGGCTTGACTTTACATGTGTTTTGTTAAATGCTTGTTCTTGGAAATTTTTTTTTTCCGTCCCATTATTACTCTCCTTTCATTTACTTATCGAGCTCTGTTGTGGCTCTGTTCACCTTATCCACCTGTTCCTATGAAAATTCCAGCATAATTTTCTGAGAAAATTAACCAAGTTTCTTCCCCGACCTTGCAGTTGCACGTGCAATCACGCTAGTCTAGCGTCAAGAGAATTGATTCTCGATTCACATTACCTTAGATATGGGTATAGAAATCATTATCTACATCACACTTCAACTGCCACATCCAGATCTAGATTTACATCCTCATCCTCACGTTTGACTTAATTTTTTCGTTGCGGATTCCGACTCAACTGGACGAATTCCTGGTATAATTATTTTCTGATACATGTGTAGTTCTTGGTAGATTAGAACATCTTCAAAATGTTTTTACGAAGATTGTTGATAGGGCACTCCTACCAGCTGTTCTTTATTCATTTATATTACCGGCTTTTCATTTTAGAATGATGTTCAATAAAATTTATGCTACTCTACAATGGGTAAATTTTATTTACTTTCATTAGCTAACGATCAAGGTACATACATATATATGCAATCGATCTCAGAACGTCTTCTTTCAATGTCTATCAATGAAAACCATGTTACCTTCGATTGAAACTGCTAACGGCTTTAATGTAATGCGTCACCAATCATTAAACAAACTGACTAGTAAAGACCATCAGATAGCTTCGCGAATAGTTAAATTTGACAAAAGTTTTAGCAATAGTCAATCGATGACTTATTTCGAGACAAAATTATGGCAATATACGAATTAAAATGAAATACTGGGTCATATGGCAGCGAATGCACCATCAAAAACAGAATAAGTATAAAGAACGGCAACAGTACGAAATTAAACTGTTTTATTTTGAGATACATAGAACAATATATAACAAGCTTGGGCACTCACTTTGAATACTGATAACGAACAAAAATGCCTGTATCTATAGATCGGGAAACTCTGGAGAAAAATTAGCCAGTCGCTTCCACCAACTAGTGAAAATTAATTAAACTGAACTAGAAACACAGCAAAATTTAATAAAACTCATCAACTAGAATGATCGACTTCAGGATGTGGTTGTGGTGACCATAGGATAGGGAATTATCAAACGCTCCCCCACACCCACACCCTCTATTATTCTACTATGTTGTTTGCGGCTTCAATAAATATTTTCGATTAAATTCATTTATATACCCAAGTGAGCAAAAGACTGGTTAAATGACTAGTCTTTTTTCTAGCCAAGTTGACCCGTCCCGTCTAGTCTTTGTCTCAAAAACTACTCGTCCACGACTAGTTCGAGTTTTTATCCGTCATGCATACACGTCCTAGTACTCTGATTGACGACTAGTCATAAAATCTAATAAGAGTAGTAGTGACGAGTGTCCCTGTCGCCCGTCCGAAAATGATCTATGAATGAAAAATTAAGGGCGTCTGGGACGAGTATACAACTAGCTGTAGCCTTATATAGTGGACGAGTCTGAACTAGTCTGAATGAAAAGATGTAAGGATGAAGATTAGATTCGAACATGTATACAATGTGATACTTACCCGTCGCCAGAACCATTGAGCCATATGATCGTGAAGTCATATTCTACACACTCATGATCATTCTAAGATGTTATTTAATACAATTTTTACTCTGAATTTTTTATTTTATGTATCAATAAAAATAATCTTTTACCGAAACGTGATTACTTTAGATAACATTGAATAAAAATAAATTAAGAAGATTTTATAATTTTTTCGAGAAATTTATTTTGATTTATAAGCAAGTGCGATTAATTATTTGGGTTTTAAAAACATTAATTTGAGTATAAAAATTAAAATAATTTATACCGGGAAGAAGCTAATTTTTTTCATATTATTTTTTAGGTTAGTTTTAAATTAAAATCACCGTATATTCATCTAATAATAAAAATTATTTTTGGTTTATTTTAAATTATTAGAATTGATATTTAAAATATACTAACATAATAGTATTATATGAAAAGATTTAGATGCTTCTCAATTTTTTTAAATTTAGTACATCTCTTATTTTGAAAAAAAATATATAAATTAGCACTCCCAGATACGAGATGAATTTTGTTGTTAGTACTAACCCCTACTATTTTATGTTTTGATACACTCTTAAACTTTTAGCATATGCTAATGCAAAATAAAATAGAATATATCAAGACAGGGATGCATGCAATATATTAAATCTTTTCGAATGCACTATTGATTACAGCAGACTCTCTAATTGTCCTTTTAGCTAGAAAAAAATTCGATAAGCATTGAGTAAAATAAATACTTCTTAACAACGGACTAGTCATGAGGTGTCCAAAAGATGCTTCAGACTAGTCAATACCGTTTACGTCGGCTTGTTTCTCATTTTCTATGCATGGATGGGAGTCAATATATAAGTTTAGACTATATATACTTACGGCAGTCTATCTCAGTATCCTAGACTGCCGTCAGGATGTCCGCCATGTCTTGAACACTGTTGGGCTGGATGTTCAAATCCACCGTGTAACCTCTGTTTTAATCTTCTTACTAGTCTGGCCTAGGTCAACAGACAACACGGACTAGACATGACTGGGCTCAAGGACATTTCAGACTATTACAGACGTGTTTGCAAGACACTCCTCATTAAGCTGACTAGACAAGACGGGTATGCAAGACGTTTCAGACTAGACTTGACGGCAGCTACGGACATTTCTGACTAGTCATGTCGGCAGTCTCCCTTCATTTTTTGCTTACTTGGGTACTTTGATACTACACATGAAACAATGTAAACAATAGTGCGCATTGAATAGCTAAGACCAGTCAATGAAAATCGATCCGTAGCATGCGATAGCAATGGATAATAATAAGAATAAATGCAGTCACATCGAGTAATCTTTTCATTTCATTCAATCTAACGATGCCTACGAGTATGATGTTACGCATTCTGTTTGTTGGAATTGTCGTTCCCAGTTACATCGTTGAGACTCACAATGCCCTATCGATGCAAGAAGTAAGAAATGCCGAAAAATATTTACTTCTCGTTGTACATTTCTTACTCAAATTCAGGTAATTGATGCGGCAATCGATAAAGCAATGACGAAAGCTTCGAACAAGCTCCAACATAGACTCGAAGTATTAAAAAACAATAAGGTTGTTTTGAATTAATGGAAGCTCTATAAAGACTTCTATAAGAAAGAATATGAGAGTGCCGACGAGGAACAACAACGTATCGAAAAATTTATTGTCAATCTGAAAATTATTATTAAAGAAAATGTCCGCTTCAACGACGGCGTCAAATCGTTCAAGCTTCATATGAACCGATTCGGTGATATGGATTTGTCAGAGTTTCGCAAGAAAATGATTGGTCTCAATTCTGGTGGAAATGGATTTGGTGAATCAGTGTATATCAAGCGATTGTCAATGCAACGGGAGAAACGATTTTTGATCAGTTCTGTAAAAAAAAGGATAAAACCGATGAAGGATAAGATGAACAAAAAATCACACCCTGGAAAAAATCTTACAACAACTACGACAACGTCTGAATCAATGGTTGACTATCGCCCATATATGAATCCGATTGAGAGCCAAGGTCAATGTGGGTGAGTTACTCGTAGAGAGTGTAGAATTCAAATTCTGTCTACAGGGCACACACAAGAAATCATTTTCTTGGACAAAATTTTCTCTTGTACAGCCCATCTGCTCGTCTTATCGAACATATCAGATTCATCTGACGAAATATTTTTGCAGCATATTTGTTTTTCACTATTTGCCGTTGTATCTAGGTCTTGCTATGCATTTGCTATAACGGCTGCCATCGAAGGTAATTACATACGCTCTAAAGACAGGCACACGTATTCAACTGTCTCAACAGCAAATAGTCGATTGTTCACCAAACAACGGCTGTTCTGGTGGCTTTTTTGATGCCACCTTTCAATATATCAAACAAAGCAGTGGCCTAGCATCCGAGAAATCCTATCCGTATGTCGGTACTCAGCAGTCATGTAGTCTGAAATCGGCAAAACTTGGTAGTATCAAAGGATATGGAACTACCCCGAATGGCAACGAAGAAGAAATGAAACGAGCATTGTCCACCTATGGTCCATTGGCAGCTGGGGTTTATGTTACATCGGATTTTCAATTCTATGGCCCATCACAACGAGCTGGTACATCAGACATAATCGATATAGCATCTTGCCCGAAAACAATCGATCATGCAATTGCTATTGTCGGTTATGGAACGGAAAATGGCCAGGACTATTGGCGTAAAGGATTTCTGTTTTTTTTTCTCGAAATATTAAATTATATGAATATTTTTTTTTCTAGTGGTGCGCAATTCTTGGGGTGCAGATTGGGGTCTAAACGGTTATTTCAAAATTGCACGCAATAAGGATAGCATGTGTGGAATTGCTACATATGGTTACTATACTCAAGTGTAACTTTCTTCGTCATATATCATGGTGTTGATGTGTGTCTATTTGTACTACTACCATTCGATAATATAATTCATTAGTTCTTAATTGAAGGAATCGGTTAGTCCTTTCAGGATGAGAATATATCTACAATAAAAATACGCAGAACAAAGTAATCCCGCTCAAATTATCAAGATAGTGACCGGTTGTGAATTACGGTTAATGAGATCAATATTTGAACATGATACTGTTATGCGGTGAACGTGTGATGAAAAGACCGCTGATAGATTCAGAGTGTTTTGCGACACGTTTCGACTATTGCTCGAATAGTTATCATCAGACTAGACAGCATAATTGAAAATCAAAATCAATCTTAACATAAATACATATTATATTTATTAATAAACAGCTATAAATCAAAGATTATTATATTATTTATAGTGTGCATTTTTCGTAGTTTATCTAATACAAGAGTTTACGTAAATCAATTCAAAAACAGGTTGACCTATCTCTTGATAAAAAAAAGACGAGTTCAATTTGCTGGTGTTAATTCTTGCTTTTCAGCACTCTAGATTACAGATGTAAGCAAAAAAAATAATATAACGTTGAAATAAAAATTAAATAAAAAGTGGCTTATATTATATATTGGTACAAATTTTATCAGCTTCACTATGTTTGATATATATTTAAATAATTAATTAAAGCAATTTGAATTCACAGTCTTACTGGTAAAAAACTTGAAGTCATTAATCAAATTTGATTGCATTGAGAGGCGAATATCAACGACATGATCGTTACATCAGTTCTGAACTGAATGTGCTTAATAGGACTATACGAATATTTTATGGTTTTCATGTAACTAGATCCATGTCAGTTAAATTTTGAAATCTCAGCAAGTTTGGTCAGTCCTATAGTACGTCTCCTCAGTTCAGGTTATGTGTTGTACGACGTTTTGATTATTTTTGCATTTAGTTTATAATTGATTTCCCACCAAAAATCATTTTATATTTTAATTATAAACCTCTTTAATATTTATAGATAACTAGCGAGACTCCATGTAAAATACATGGCTGTTCTTTTTTTACAATTAAGGGTCTAAAGTTCGTAAGTGAATATGTTTAAATGCAATCAAATGCCTAAGGAATGGCTTGCACACAGATAGATGCTACTGAACGAAGCCGTACAAAAGTAATGTAGAGTTAACCGTGACTGCAGAATGGCTGTGACAGTAGCACCTCCAACTGAAAGAAATTTTTTCCTTGCGATTTATTGATAGTCATAGCAAATGAGAAGAAATTGGACAGCTGGTGTCTGCGTAGGTTAAAAAATAAAAATTTATCTGAAGCTAATAAACGAATCCTTGGTAAAAAGAGTTTGATTTCCTTTGTTGTATCCTGTCGTAGCTTCACAATCTATCGTATGAATATACAAAACGTCTCACAGTACTTCGGATTCCGCCGCAAAAACCATTGATGTACATTTAAAATTGCGAATAAGCATAATTGAATTTATAAGGAAGAATTTCTGGTGGAGTGAGACTCTTCAGAATTTATGTTGAATAATCTCTGGTGTCTTCACCGTACTGATATTCAATTTCCTCGTCTTCAATTGATGGCATTTCTATGTTACCAAGTTTAATAAGCCTTTCCCAGAGTTCCTCTTCGTTTCGAGCTGAGAATGTGGACGTCGATCTTCTCATCACACCCAACGAATAGCACATTGCATAATAACTGAAACAATTAAGAAGCAATGTTATCATATGAAAGATAAACCCGAGGGTGGGTGTGGGTGGGTGGTTGTATAGAAATTAACACGAGACACACCCACACCTTATGAATTACATAAATAAACATTCATAGGTTTTAAACGGACGTTAAAAGTAGCTAACTTAGATGTACAAATGAAAACAATGCACACTACCTCTATTATCAAAAGCAATCTTACAACATACTGAGGATATCAAACTTGATAAATTGATCAATTTCAATTGATAATTAAAATAATTTTCGTATGAATCAAATATTGATATGAAATTGATAATAGCCAATCACAAATTCCAAGTATCACGAAAAGTCTTTTGTTTTATGTTAAAATGAATTGTGCAATTCTTTTGATGACTAATAGTAGTGGGTATTTTCTTGAAACCATATAAAAACAGTTGAACTACAGTAGCGAATTGATTAGAGTTTGTGTATCTAAAAGAAACTCGTCATCATAATGAGTAATATTATATCTTCGAAACCAAGTCGACTTGAATTACTTCCAAATGAAATTCTTTTTGAAATCTTCAAATACGTAAAACCTATTGATCTTCATCGTTTTGTTGGATGCAATCAACGATTTAATAATATTATAAGCGACGTAAAACTAAGTGTCGATATTCAATATCCAGAAGAAGAAGAAGAAGATGAGGAAGATTTCAATTACCTAAAACGCTTTCATCCAAATCAATTCATTCGTCTGGAATTACGTTGTCGCTGGGGTGCATTTAATTTGCATTTATTTACGGAGCTACGCTCACTAAAGATCGATTGCAACTATCTGTCAGAAAATCAATTTAATCAGGTAAGTGGAACGATTTTGTATTGTTTTTCACACATCGAGAAACTGACTCAAAAGTACGAACCCATTTTATTATTATAGGTACTTACTGCTAATCTACCAGATCTCCAAAGATTTTCCATTGATAATGTTCCGAACTACTACGGAAAAGAATTACTAATTACTATTCTTGATAGCGAACGTTTTCCATCATTGACATTGTGTCAGTTTTCAGGAGAATTTTACTACATTCTAGAACTTAACGAACATTACACATCACCAAATAGTAAAATTCGTACGCTTATCCTTAACAGATGGGATGGATCGAGTCTGTGTTCTTTACTCAATCTACTACCTAATTTACGTCGATTTGAGACGAATTTTTTAGAATCTATCAGTAAATCATTGAAATTCAACATGCATTACATCACACTTGAAAATTTACGAATTACTCTCAATGATCCATCCAATGATCTGGAGAAGATACTTTCATGCATGCCTAATCTAAAATACTTGCGTGTCAAAGGAAAGATTCCAGACGGATCGGTATTAGAATGTTTCGAAAAAATGGCTAAAACCGTTGGCACTTATTCATCGAATCTACAAAAATTTGATTGTGAATTATATTTTCATGCATGGATTGGTCAAGTCGATATTCTTGTCATACAAAAGCTTCATCCACTTTTCAAGATGATAGAATGCCATTTTGGAAAACTTATCAATCAATGTTACGCTACTGATTTAACAGAATATCCTATTTTCAACGAATATGCATGTGAGTATAGATCATTTTCTTCAATTGGTTTTTCAATTTCATGTGACATGATTATATAGAAGTGATAGAATTTCTTCTAGATGTGGAACGCATGACACACAATACTACACTGTATTCTGGAGTGATGGGGGGATATGACAGTGATAATGACTACAATAATTATGACGACAACGACTACAATAATTATGATGACAACGACTATAATAGTAATAATGGTTGGACAGATTATGGACTTGGCTATCGTGGAAATTACAAAGCGAACTATGGATCTTCCCCATGGAGCGGTAATAATGATTAGATGGTGATTGTGCATGGGCACGAAGAAAATATGTGCTGAAACGCTACAGACAAAAGCATACTCCACACTCACAATCTTCGCTATAATCGAATGATTGTCAAATTTTTTAAAACTACTGTAATGTCTTTCAATAGAAGAAAATACCAAAGTCTGTTTGATCCATTAGAAGTGATTGGCTTTCTCATCCATCGTAGCAATTGACTATCATAGGATGGTGAATAAAATTGTTCATTCACAGAATTTAAGGCAGGTGTGGGTATCAGTATCACCATGTAGGTATGGCCCGCAAGTAAAGATCATATCCACCCACACGCTTACTCGCGAACGGCCTAGAAAATACTTTGATGCCTTGTAAAACTGTCACTTTACCACTCAATATAAATTACTGACATGAAAATAACTTTTAAAGTAAATGTACCATATTTGTAATATATCTATTCTGAAAGGGTCATTCATTGGGAATTTTACTGAATTGAAAAAATCTAAATCAGTTGAACAAAAAATCTTGATTTCATCGTAATTCTATATTTGATACGTGAAAGCGGTTAGAAAAGCGATGCTCTTTTTTCTCCCAAGTAATGTTCAGCCTGAGGATGTGTATGTTGCATGTCGTTGAAATAGTTTCACTTATTAATGCTAACGCCTCATTTATGAAGATAAAGCGGACTACGACCAACAATGACATGACAACGCTTTAATCATGTCCTTATTCCTCATATTCCTAAAGAAAAATTAGATCAGTTAGATTTGAACAGCATTTGTTCTGATTTTATTGCAAAAAATCGGAGTAAAAAAGTTTTTTCGGACATGAATAATAGTTTTTGTACTTGCAACTTTTTTATTTGCTTTAGCCAAGGTTTAAGATTTTGTATGCTTATGTTGATAATGAAATAAAAATTTTGATAGTGTAGTGGAATTCTCGATTGCTCTGAAGGTGTGCAAATGGGCCAGTGAAGAAAATGTTTTGAATGAAAGTTATAGCCAAGAAATTTAAATCTTTGCTTTCTCCCTCTAATGCCGACTTTCTGTCGTTGTTTTCAAAAACAAATTTGAGCCTCTCCTAATTTAGAAACGCTCGACCGCCTACGAAGCCGATGAAAGGCAAGTACGTAATGTTATTCACCGAAACTTCAGTATGTAAGAATTAATTATAAGGAATGATCATCATCAAGATTTTGCAGTACGGAGAACAATTGCCACAAATAATGGAGGTAAGAGTCAAATACGTTAATTTGATGGAAGACTGAAAATAGATTCTAAATTGTTCTTATCAGTCCTAATTTGACCCAATTGTTATAGATACTTTTGAATGGCATTAGATCCTTCGACGCAATTCAACTTCTGTTTCATCAGCAAATAATCAACATCTTGCGCAGCACTGTATAAGATTTATAGTTGGTCATATATAATTTTTTCGATTCCTATTTTCAGTATTTCTTTTGGCGATGTAGAGTCAAATGCTACGGAAACTAGTGAAAGTATAGACAAAAAACATATGTGCATGAAAAAATAATTCTCGAAAACTGTTAAACCATATGAATGTAATAAAAATGAATGTGCTACATCTTTATTCATCTGCTGATGAAAATCAGATTCGGTTCAATCAAGATTAATTAAAGGACGTCAACATCTATTTTCAGTCTTCAATTACATTAATACATCTGACTCTTACATCCATTATTTGTAAAAAGTGTGCTTCGTGCTGAAAAATCTTCATAATGATCATTCCGTATACTTAAGTTTTACGTGCTTAATATTCTCATATTACGTTCTTGTTTTGCAATGATATCATTAGTGTGTTCTGTATTGTAAACCTGACTAAAGATAAATAATTACCAAAAGATGAATTACAAAACAATATTAAGAAAAAAAGCGCATTGTCAGACATACGTTTTGATTCTGTTTCAGCTTTTTAATAATAATACATAACTTAAATAAGGAACAATTCTCTGCTGAATAGTATATAAATCTACTGATAAATAATAATTGCAGCCACATGGTGTCTGTAGCAGATTTTATTGCAAAGTATTGAAGTAAAAAAAAACGTGAACTGATTAAGCTGAAAATTTCAACTCAGTCCACATTTATTTTCTATTTTCAAAAAACGAAAGTGATGCAATAGTCAACTTTGTACGATGAATTCTACTCAATTTGGATTTCTTGCCGTGAAATGTCCCGTAGTCATCGCCATAGGTTCAACCACTTGTGTTGCTCGGAACCAACACGGCAAAAGCATTTTTAGTTGCCATGAACTTTCGATCAACGAACCCATGTAGACAAAGGGAAGCAGCAATATGACGTAATAAGAAAAAAAATGTGCATATTGTTCGAAAGGACCATTGAGTTCTTCAGATACACAGCACAATTGTACCAGTTCAATACAAATGATTGGAATATAAAGCAACAAATAGAGGAAAGAAATTAACAATAATTGAATTGCAATCTTTCGATGCTTTCGCCATTGAAAAGCTCTACGCATGCGATGATTTTTAATTAGAACTCGTGCAAGAAGGCTAATGCTAAAAATCACAATTGTTATAGCTGGTATAATATTATGTACAACGCTATCCCACGTACCGACCAACTTCGAATTGTGTGAACACAGGGGATGTCCACATATCTCTTGCGTATAATTGTAAGTATTTTCACATGGTGGAATTACGATAATAACAAAATGAAACAATATGGTATAGGTTATGACGATTGCGTAAGGAGCATAATGAAGGAGAAAACGCTTTTTGACACTAGATAACCATTTATCATGAAAGATGATTATATGTCTTTCAATCGATGCCCAAGCTATGGTCACAGTCGAAACATTATATAGTGTTTCATCGACGAACATCCACATGAGACATAAACTTTTTGTAGCAGGCACGACAGTACCTGAGCGATAATAATTGAGAAATAATGATATATCTATCAGTTCATAGATCAAATTATTGCATAATAGGAGAATGATAAAATGATTATGAATCCCACGACGCCGCGTTCGACTAGAAAGAGTGTAATAAAGGATAGCAATTGAGCAAGCAACAGATGGAACCATTGCAATGAGCAATAACCAAAAGCGAACAGGATTAGATATAACAGAATCTGTGTATTGCATTGTTAGACAGTTGTCTTACTCGTTTTCCAGAATAAATGATCTACATGAATGAAAAAAATATTAAATCATATAAGAAATATCTTTGATAAGAAAACGAGATCTTGTATAGTAAGCTTTTTCTCCAAGAGATGAACACTGTGACTTTTCTACGTTTCTTGGTATTTTGATACTCATTCAATTATCTTACCACTCGAAAGTAAGCCGTCTTTACTTCAACAATGAATATAGGACTGTGTTGAAAATCAACAAATGTATTTATATGCTCTTGACTTCACTTTGGACCTTGAAGAATTAAGTCGAATTTTCACTGTAACTAAATAAAATACTACCGCTAACAATTTTCCCATTTGCTAATATGCATAAATTTCATGTCTAATGATTTTCTGACGAGCTAATCAAATTTCGTATTTTTAATAGATGATGAATTACACAGCTCTGCGATTAGATCTCAAACTTTTAACGCCATCACGGATGGTTACTATCGAGTTGTACTCACTGATAAAAGGTTCACATCAATTTGCTGTAAAAAAAACTTATTGTAACTTACATCAACTCATAATATTAAAATTACAAATTCAATACAATTGAAAACAACAGCTGCGTTGTCGGTGCACTGACAACTGACTATAGTCAAGTCTATTCTTTCTATAGCTTATTCATGTGCAAAATTCATGTAGTCTTTTTTGTATTTGATTAAAACTTAAATCACCCCTAACAACTTATCCTGGAAGGTTACTTGCATGACGTTTTCATCATCTAATGCTATGATGAAAATACTATTAATTTTACTTGCTGGTTACCAGAGCGCTTCTAAAATGTTTAACATCATTAACGATATATGAAAGTACTTCTTCTGGCTCACGTATTGGAAAGATTTTCTTCAAAAAAGTGTTAACCTGACTGATTTCTGTTTAATTTTACACACATATTGAGGAGGATGCACTACTTTCATTCAGTGACATTGAAGATAAGTATGAGCTGCAAATTATTCAGATAGCTATGCTATACAACTACTTTGTAGATAAAATGGAAACTAATTAATTACATGAATAAAAAAGAACGAGTGCGTAGATAAGCAAAAAAAAAGAAAAATATGCTTCATTTGTTCTCTTTTCTTTGCGTACTAGTCGTTCATAAAAAAAATCGACGAAAGAAAAACTGCTTTGAATCCAGGCAAATAATAAACTGACACTCATTCTCCAAGTTTTACGAAAGAGTAATTTTCCACTAAAAAATGGTGTAGAAAATATATACTTTTCAAGACCCACCAGGCAAAAGTCAAAAACCAAACTAAAATAGAGGAAAAGTGTTTGCAAATTAACTATCAAGCTAAAGCATTTTTTTGTTAATGTTAAAAGGAAAATACAAAGAACGGCCCAGGTTGATATGTGTAGCCTGTCCAGTTGGGCGAAGGATAATAGTAATGAAAGATCCAAATTAAAGAAAAATATTAATAAGTCAATTGAAAATCTTCAAAAATGGAAAAAAAAACAGTTGGATTCGAACAAAAACAATGAATCCACTGCTTCCATCTCTTCTCACCACCGAATTACAGCAAACAAAATCATCGATAACAACAATATCGGAGAAGTAGAAATAAATGACGATTTTTAAATGAACTCTCTAGGCCAAGATGTCTGACTTCTCTTCTCTTCTTAATGTTCATGCCCGTCCCTTTTTTCCTTCTTCTACCTACCACCTTTCCTCATTGGTAAAACATTTTTTGAAACAGCATTAGATAGACTGGTGATTTGGAAGTTCCCTATTAAAGTTCAAAAACGAATTACACCAATTTTAGAAAAATGATATTCTAATTCTACTCTAGACATTGTTCTAACAAAATGGGAGAACAACCCTTGCCCTTTATCTAACCAATTGATCTCTTTAAACGTTCTCACATATAATGTTCAAGACTGGGGTACTCGTGTCTTGAAAATAATGGATCTAATTTTTAAAGTTCATAGTCCAGTATCCGTATTTACCAAAGTAGGAGAACTTTGAAATAGTTTCAAAGTTCCGAATTTTACATAGTTTTATCAAAAAGATTCAAATCATAACGGAGGGGTTATGATAACAATAGGAAAACATCTCCGAGCAACGAGAATTGATACTGATATAGAAAATACAGTTATTGTGGATATCTACGGACTTTCTGAACAAATTAGAATAATAGGTATATACTGGCCACATGGTCAAGTGCGTAATCTAAAAGATCTATATCCCTTCTTAGTAAAAGGTACTATTTTGACAGGTGATTTTAATGCAACTTCAAATGAACGGGGTAGCCAATCTACTGATAGATGCGGTAACTCTCTGAAGAAATGGATCGAAGAAAATGAGTTGACCTTTATTCCCACCAACTCTCTTTCTTCTAAAAGATCAGACAGACACATTGATTTAACATTTACAAATTTGAACAGAGTCGAGAATGAAACAATATTTTACGGTTCAAGCGACCACTGGCCGACTGTTTTAAGTTGTCAACGTATAGAATTTATTTCCAACGGCTTCTTTCCGAACATCGATTGGACCATTTACCAAATTATTCTAGTGCTTTTAGAAGATTTCTGGATAAATGAACAAAAAAGGAAACAATTGATCATTGGTATCAATTTTATGTACGTTTCCTTGCAGCACTAAAATACAGTTTGACTCGATGGAAAGAAAGAAAAAAATACCGTCCATCTCTCCCTGCTTACATAGTCAAAAGGCTCCGTGAAGTTCGTCAGGTTCGAAATAGATATTGCAGAAAAAGGAAAATAGCTGGTATAGGTGTTGCTAAGAAAGATGTCAAGAGAGGTTCGCAATGAGATTTAGAAGTATAGATTGGCCTAGCTTTCTGTCCACCATACAAGGTGCTCATGATAAGCAGGAGAGTTCATTTTGGACGCATCTTTCAAAAATTTATAAACCAAAAACGTTACCCTTCTCCAAATTATCAGTAGGAACCAGTATCATATCAGACGAGCAGGAGATTACGAAAGCCCACGGTAGGTATATATGTGCTAGGACAGAAAATTGTCATTGTAGGCACGTGCAAGTATCTTGGTTTTACTTGAACGAGTAAATTATCATTGAGACCCACTGTAAACAAAAGCGTGGAGTATATCCAAAGATCGTTGGATAAGCTGAACTGGCTACGTAGCGGCACAATTTTGTCCAAAGACACGTTGAGAAGATGCTTCTTCGAGTATATATTTCCCCATTTCGCTTGAGTCTTTTCTTTTTTCCCGTTTCTCCCCACAACACACCAAGAGGCACTTAGAAGAAAGTATAGAGTAGCAATACGCTTAGTCCACCGTGCTCCGTTTGTTCGCGCTAAGAATCTTTTGAGTCTTACCTCAGAAGAACCGCTTGATACTTATGTCAAACGCTATATCGTGAAAAGATTAAAAAATATGAGCTCTTCAGATTTATGTTCTTTCTTATTTCTTGAAGATGTATACCTATGGAATAATTTCTATAAGCAAGCGAAAGATGCTGTTGGTCATCTGTTTATGTTGAAACGGGTTAAACATTTAAAATTAAAACACCGCTCCCTTCTCATAGGCTGGCTTGATTTTAATGAGCAAAGTGATAATTAGAAGTCTAGGAAAGAGGGAACACGAAATGGTAGTTTATTAACAGCCCCCTTAACATTCTACCTCGACATTTACAACTGCCGCTACTTGTATTCTCTGTTCATCTCGTTACTGCTTTCATGTGCTCCATGTATCTTTATCCTTGTTTTTCCCTTTTTGTTTTCTTTTCTTTTTTGTTCTTTCTTTTTTGTTGCTACTTCCTATCCCTCCCGCTTCTCTATGTTTCTCTGTTCTGTAAGCACTTCCGAGTGTGGCAATAAAAAGAGCATAAACCAAAAAAATTTGTGTAGCCTTGAATCTTTTCAAAAAATAATCAACCACTAGTTCGTGACTATTCTCTGAAAAGATGAAGATTAGCTTCAAAAACATTTTCGATCGAGCTTTCGCAAAGAAATTTTCAAAATACAAATAATATCTGATAGAAACAAAATATTTTTTTTTCAAAGTTAGTACATCTTCTTCATCTTATTTTGATGAGACTCATTCATAATCTCTAGCTATATAGTTTATTGAATCCCTGAAGGCGAAAACTTTGTTAGTATCAGATGACTATGCTTTTAAATTGAACACAACAACAACAACAACAACAACAACAAATACTACTACTAGATATCGGCTAGGTTCACATACTGATTCTCATATTCTGGGGAAAGAAATCATGCATGCTTGTAAATTATGTGAATAGATTAAAAAGTGAGTAATACAAGAAACAACTTCTATTCTTCGTATTTATGATGAAGAATATACCAAAGCCATGCTATCAACAGTAGCAATAGTTGTATTACCGAGTGAGCATGAAATCAGTAGATAATCATGGTATTTATGATCTTCACAGTTGCAGTCATTTGTTTTTAATCTTAAGATAGTGCTGCCAAAAGCGCACGTCGTGTTATTACTCTCATGAATTATTTAAATGAATTTTCACTTACATTTGTTAAATGAAAAAAGTGGCATTTTACAATTCATTTTTAAAAATTTTTCTGTCTTTCTACGGTACACCCCTCTGAATAGGATCAATGTGTTCTATTTGTCCATACAGTGGCCATCATATTCCAGTGAGTCTGTCCAATTTTTACACTCATTTGAATCTTCAAATATTTTATTTCGAACTCTGACCATTCCCTAGTGAAACATCTTTCCTAGTGAAACATCTTCCCTAGTGAAACATCTTGTAAGTAAGATCTTGGCCAAGATCTTGGGTACAGATAAGTGAACAGATCTTGAAAGTTTAGGTACAAGATAACTGTATTATCATGTACCCAAGATCTTATTACAGATCTTAAGTAAGAATTCATAACATCTTGAATGATGCATTCTGAAAGTATGTTTGGTATTTTTTCAACATATTTTAATATTAACTATTCCTGACCCGAATAGCTCAAGCAAATCAGATGTTGAGATCTGACCGGCTTTAAGTTGGTCCGATATTCGCCAGACCAATTTATCGTAGTCCTCTCTCGACCATCGATCGAGATCAGCATCCTCTCAATTAATCAATAGTCGAGAAATAGTTTAGAAAAAAACTTATTTTGTAAAGTTATATTTTTGCATGTTCAATCATGTTGCTTATATTCTGTTCTGTATGCATAAAAAAAACGGTGAATGACTAGATAGCCTATCTAAATAAACTAATGATGTCGCTTTCTGTTTTACTCAAGATCTTGTGAGATGATAATAGAAAAGAAATCGTTGCCATGATCTTGCTGAGATCTTAGGTACAGATTTATCAGATAGGACAAGATCTGAACAAGCGAATTATCTTCTAAAGATCTTGATAAGATCTTACCTACCAATCCCAAGATTTCAAGATCTTACTTACAAGATGTTTCACTAGGGTTGTGTTCTTCAACAGGAAGAGTAGAACGTATTTTTGAGAAGATATATTCAATTCATCTAATTTTATTGGTTTCTCTATCAATTTTGATATTATACGCCTTTTTTTAGCTTTCAAATTATTTCAGCGTGTTATTCCTTGAAGGTTTTCTTTTTTTTATCATTATGTATTATTAGCTTTCGCAATTTCATCAATATCTTAGTTTCTTCAAGTGTGCCTTATATTATAACGTATTATTAACTCTCAGGATTCTGCCAGCTTCTTGCCTTGCCGAAGGGTAATTGGATTTTTTCATCAAAGAGAGAACGGAGAAGAAATAACTGAAATAATACGCTAGTATTACATATGCTTAGTGTTCCCGATTTTTGGGCTACAATGTGACATATTCTTTAAATAAAGGATAAATGAAAAAGTGACAGGTTGTCGACCACGATTTTCATCATCTACCTCGATCTAGAGGTTTTTACATGATTATATAGTCCGTTATTGTCTACACTTCTAGAAACTATATAGTTTTTCTTACTATTATTTACGAAACGATTTCGTCTACTGCAGAACTTTTTGTATTTAAACGAAATTTGATTAACTTTTAGATGAACCAATAATTGGAAGACTAGTATTCAATTATCTTAGAAATTTTATGTAAGAATATAAAGTAAAAACTAAACAATACAGGAATTCAAAATATCTAGAACAAATGAAAAAATGCTACATTCAGATGATTTTCAGCGACTCAATACAAATGATGGCGGCATATTAGGTATTCGAAATACAATATCTGGGTAGAGGCCAACTGAGTCAAAAATCTAGGGTAAAATTATCGGCGGAAAACTGTATTGCCGTATGTCGGATGCTGAAACAATACGACCGTTATATAAATTTTTCAACAAGTATCGAAGTTTTTACCAATATGGTATTATACTGTGATACAAATGTTGTGTTGCACAGATGTTAGTTGTAATTCAGTTCTGTCTCATTAACTCCAAGCCTAAATTGAGGTAATCATTATGATTTCAAGAAATTAAATTCTTTTTAACATATATAATTATATATTAAATAGAACTATGTTCATGATTCCCTGGTGAGTTATAAAACCGTTATAACATGGAATCTAATCGAATCTGTTCTATTAAGTATTTGTTTTTAGAGGGAACTAGACTACTGACATTTTTTATTCACGGAATTATTGCGCTATTATTTTCACCTGAGTCTCACTAAAATAAACAAGTTTTTAATAAATCTTTTGCACATTAGACACCATCAAGAACAAGTTAATTAAACGAAAAATGACAGCACCTGTTAAAACTTCAATATGATAGCAAATCGAAGGTATTGATATCAGAATTAGATTTGATTCTACAAAACAAAATGTACAGGTGATGTTGATCTTGGGATTAATTCCAAAGTCGATGTAGCACAGTCAAATATTACAACACTAACGGAAGTCATTAATAATGTTTGTTCAGGGATCAAAAGTTCTCGACAGGTGTGGATCTGATCGCAGTTGAGAATATAGTGAAAATCAACATCGACACACTTGATCATATTGTTGTAAACAATAAGAATTCCTTACCAGCCGAAAATTCGGAGAACGATGAATTCCGTCTCTACACTGAAAACAAAAAAGGTCTCATACAAAACCCAAAAAGGTTCCGATTTTTGAAACGAAATCGAAACCCTTTTAGGTTTCGTAAAAGACAATAATTTTATCCCCTATAAAAAAAAGGGTTTCGCTCTTCATGTTCCATGAAATACGCTACGCAGTATCGGAGAAAGGTCTCGCTGAATAGTATACTCTACTCTACTACTAAAGCAGTTTGCACCATTATTCAGGGTGTGGGCGTAGGTGTTTCAATCTGGATCATCTCCACAACCATATCCATTTAGAATGAGGTCGTATGAAGACTCGTATTTATTCGACAATGTTTCTCTCGATTTCTTTCTAGCAAAAAAAGCTGAAAAATGATCTAATACTGATGCTTGTGAACTGCAGAACACGCTTTTGACAATGTCATTGCATTTTTTCGTCGAATGGTCTCATCATAAAAATTCTATATTTATCTGTGATCATCACGCCCATTCTTTCGTATAAAATCGAACTTTCCTATAAACTCAATCAAATAATAAAGAATAATTGAAAAATTACTTAAAGATTGAATTTATTTTATCTATAAACAAGAAAATAAAACTCATTGATTGTTTCTATTCGATTGAATTCTTAAATTTGATTTAATATCATTTGAAATAAATCATTTAGAAAATTTTCTAGTAAACACCGAAAAAATATCTATCAAAAATCAGTTCTATTCAATTAAATCAATTTCTTCAAATGACTTTGAAAAAACAATCTTCTATTGAAATTTATCTATTCAATATAATTTAAAATGAGTTCCAAATAAATCCGTATATTTAAAATTAAAGTTTTGGTCAATTGAACTATTTTTCAATATTATTTCAAATAGATTTTCATTCAAACGATCATGAACAAAATTTGAAAACAAAAACAATCGAAACAATGTTTATTATAATCACTTAGCAAAAGATAAGAAATAAATCTCATAAATATGTTTTTTTTTCTTTGCAAACAAATTAAATTTTCTATACTATCTCGTTTTCAAGGCTATTAGTAACAAAAAGAAAAAGAGAGAGAAAAAAGTCATGCTATTCTTCACTATATTTGTTCATCGTCGAATAAGATAATGGAAAAGGATACCATTGTTTTCATTGACGATATCGGTCAATGAAAATTAATGAATAGAGTACATATATATAGTCTTAGAAAATTAGATATGTGTAGAGAAACAAACATGAAAGATTTATTGGTTCAGCTCGAGGATTTACCTGATGAAATTCTTATGTATATATTTAAAAAATTGTCCAATGATGAAGTGCTTTATTCTTTAACGGATGTTAATCAACGACTCAATAGAATTGTACATGATACAATATTTACTCGTTATTTATGTTTACTAGAATATTGTGCAGACGACAATTCTACCTATCCATTACCAGATCCAATACTTGATCGATTGTGTTCAAAAATTTTACCTGCAATTGGACACCAAATTGAAAGTCTTTTTCTTGAACGAACATCGATAAAACGTGTTCTTCATGCTACAAATTATCCTCATTTAGTTGATCTTGGTTTATGTAATTTTCACTTCGAAGACGCTATGTCTCTGTTTTTTGGTAAGAGATTTTCTTTGATTGATTTCATTCTAGAATTAAGTAGTTACTGGAAAACGAAATGATTTATTTTGAACATACAATTAATAGAAAATCAGTTTTGATTTCACTTTTATTTCCTACCAGAGGTCCACCAGACTAACTTTTTGTAGGCTTGACCTGTCGACTTTTTTAACAGTCAATATAATAATAATAATATCATATAATCTAAAATTGAATTGTGTTGCAAGTTCATAAGGTCAATGGAACCAAAGTAGATGACATATGTAAGAATTTTCTGAATTAAACATTCGAGAAAATATATATAAATTGTTCACTATGTGGTGACGTTCGCTTGTCATATGGGTATCCCACTGTGTAATAATGCGAGTAGGACAAAAAGTCTTGACCACAACGTTTTTCCAGTTAATTCTAGTCGTGGAAAGTTATTCATATCTCATTACCAGGCGGCTTCCACTTGAAAGCAGTTGAATTCAAGAAGAAGTTTATTAGTGTGAATCTAGATTGTTCAATATAATAGGGTATTTACATTTCGGAGGCGTTGACAGTGCAATATTTCTTTCGATATTTTATATGAATTGAAAAATATTCATATCTGTGGAAATAAAGAAATCGAAAGACATGCATTGGTATTCAAAGAACAATTCGACCTTTGTCAAGCAATGTATCGAATGAATCTGAGAGACAAGAACATCACTCATATTTTTACAATATCGAGAAGAAGCACTTGCAACAACTACTAAGTCTTCATCAGAAAAGGGTTTTTCAATTCCGTAAAACTTTCTCTGTCGCACCTGTTTACGCTATACTCGGATCGTCCGATATAGTCACCAAGTATATTAAATCCAGCCGTAGATGGAAACTAGGCTTATTTAACAATCAATCAAGTATTCAATAAATCTGGCTTTTCTATACTTTGATTGAAATTTTTAAGCGTTTCCAAGTGCTAAAAGAACGAAGCAGATAACACACTGAACAGTGAAATTTCCCCTAGAGTTATTGTTCTCAGCCATAATTTTTAGTGTTTTTGACTGACGTTTCGCAGATTTAGATCAGAAGTAGAATTTGAATGAAATTTAAATAAATCCTATGGATCAGTATTTAACATTGAGTAGACTTAAGTGACTTTTAAATCTTTTCATTGGTTTTTTCGTGGAAAAATCATTGCGTTCTCCCTGAAGGTGAAGTTCAAAAATGATTTACCTAGAAAAGTATTTTCACTGGTGAAAAAATTATGATGCTCCGCGTTGGTACTGGACCTAGGAATCTGCAAAATGACCTTTCTTCGGCCTCCGTTCTGGTCAATCTTTTCTCTGACTTTGGTTCTGATTTAGATCAAAATCCTTTAGCTCATATATTCAAGAATCAAATTTCATCGCTCTTTATCAGTTTTGGTACTGGAAACAATTCGTTTCCATTGGAAAGTATCTATTCACTTATATTTTCATTAATTTTGGCCAACTTTACTAATTTACGATGCTTAAAATTCAATTCATCTTTATCTTTTAATGACACTACAACTTTTCATGTGCCAGATGAAACTACTATCTCTTCAACTTTATTAGAATTACATGTCAGTGTGGCAGATATGACAGACTGTATGTGTATGCTCGATGGCCGTTTTGATCAACTTCGTGTATTTTATATTACTGTTTATAGTAGTCTGCCGAGGTCTCTCAACTTTGAACATGAGGTAGGTTATTTTTATTAATATTTCATTTGTTTAAATGAGCTCGTATTTGTTTTCATTTTCAGCAAAAGCTATTACCAAACTTACGGATTTTTTCTTTTTGCTGCAAGGAGAAGATAAATAATTTTGATGAATCAATTGTGCCACTTCTACGTCGAATGTTAAATTTAGAAGAACTTGATTTAAATATTATAGTTAAATCTAATGAAAAATTTATTGATGGTGATACATTGAAGAAAGATATTATTATTTATATGCCACGATTATATAAATTCACATTTAATATCTGTTCAACCATTGATCATCGTAATCAAACTAATTTCCAGTTAAATAAACATATTGAGAAAACATTTAAATATTTTTCTAATAATCAAATCATAACTTGTATTGATCATTTTCAAGAAGAAGGATATAGTCAATGTCATATTTATTCATATCCATATAAATTGAAAGTTTACAAGAATATAACAAATAATTTTCGAGGTGGATTATTTACCAGTGTTACTCAAGTATCATTATATGATGAACGTCCATTTGAACATGAATTTTTTCTTCAAATTCAAAAATCGTTTCCATTTTTGAAAGAATTAACAATAAAAAATCGAAAAGCACAAAATAATAAACAATATATAAAATCAAATAACGATAATCAAGTATTGTCAATTATTGAATATCACAAACTTACTCGACTTGATCTTACTAACACTCATGATGATTATGTTGAACTATTTTTATTTGATACGAAAATGTCTTTGCCAAATAATCTTCATCTTTGTGTCGATTATCAAATATTGGAAAGAGTGACATACTATTTTACAAGATATATATCACGAAATAATTGTGAAAAACTTGCTGCTCTATATTGTTATCCAGTGGATCGAATCGATGAACGTGTCCAAAACTATTTTCCTCTTACATGTATCCACCGTGCCGTTGATTTTGTAATATCTAAATAAAATATGTCAAAAATAGATCTATTCATACGGAATGAAATCATTGAAAGGGACAAAAGAGAATGAATAAAGAAAATAATTTCAAAGAGAAATCAAACGACATATAGTTCCATCCAAATTTGATTGTACAATTGAGAAATAAGCTTGCATACAACAGATGTTCACAATTGCTTAACTATTTGAATTTTAGATGTCGTTAATTTTCCAGAAACGAGAAAATTATTCTTAATTTTCTGGAATTGCGAGATAGTCCGTCTGAAAATTTTCAAAGACAAGGTGACGTTTCCCCAACCCTCGCCTAGATATCTGGCTCAAGACTTTTGAATTGTCATAAGTATATATGTGGAATGAAAATTGTTTACCTCATATTCTTATTTTGGAATTCAGTTTCTCCTTGTTTAGCTAATATTGATTGAACTAAATTTTTTTTGACAATCATTCTGAATGAGTAAAATTTTTTAAACAGACGAAAAAATTCTTTCGTTTTCTTTTCTAAAATAAAATTCTCAATTTCTAATGAATTATTTTACATTTTTTTATTTTGTCCATTCAATGCTTGAATTATTCTATTTAAATATATATATATATTAGATCTTTAAAAAATAGAATAAAATTTTTTTATTGAAAGATAGATGTTTCCTGTTCATCGAATATGTCAGCTTCATATTCAAGTTCTTTTATTATTATGGGCACATATTATACTCAACATAAATGAAAAAAAAACAGTCGACCAGCAAACATTGGTATGGGCATCGTTATCAAAGAAGAAAAAAATAAACAAAAGAAAAAATGAAAAAGAATAAGGTTACACTTATTCCCAGGTAACACAATGTCGCTGCCGAGAAAAGAAAAAATGCTAGTAACAAATAATATCTTGTATATTTAATATTGATGTTGTTGTGCATTCGACAAAGATATTATTGTTGATGATGTTAATGATGAAACTGTGATTAGTGATGAAGGTGATGTTTAAAATCAATTAAATATGTCAAAACTATATCAGCACAGCCTAATTGTTGCGTGATTGTTACCCAATTCGAGTCATCTTGTTGATTATTATTTGAAAGATGTTGTTCAACATTATTCGGTACACCAAATTTTGATAAAATTTTAAAACATGGTTCTAAATATGATATAGTGTCTGATGCATATCGAGCACTTTTTAAAGCATTTGTAAATCGTTGAATTGCTTGAGAAAATGAATCTGGTGTTGATAATTTATCAATAATTGATTGCATTGATAATTCATGTTTTGTATCACCATATAATAGTGATGACCATTGTTCAGATGATATATAAAAACCTTTAACATATAAAAGTATTTATTAAATATAACTTGAGCAGAAAAAAATTATTTGCCATCTTTCATAACCATTTGAATAATGTGCGAATCATATGCACGATGAAGAGTTTCATAATTTTGAAATTCTGATTTAAGTTTCATTGACAAAGAGTCGCCATTTCGTTGTACCTAATATAAAAACAAAAACTTCTGATAAAACCACTGCTTTCTTTTTGTTTTTATTGTTGTATATTTACTTGAAAACAAGATGCACCAGAAAGTAAATTAACAATACGGTTAACACTTGGTTGAATGACATTTGGATCGTTTACTCCTACTTGTAGTACCACAGAATGGACAAGATGTTTATTGGATAATGCGGAATGGTCTTTAAGAAATGATACAATTGATTGTAATACTATTTCTTGCATAGCTAAATTAATAAACAATGATTAAGATAAAAAATATAATTTGGAAAAAAATCAAACCTGGTTCAAGAAATTGACCATGTTGTACACCAATAACTGACCGAAGATTATCTGTTAATTGTTCAGAATTTTGACAACAAAGAATAAAATCAATACACATATGTTCACCAAGACTACGTATTGCTTCCACAACTTTTAAACGACTTGCACGATCAATATATTGACTATTTAATAAGCTAAATATTTTCCGTGTCATTGAATCACTGAATATTGATTGCCATTGTTTATCATTAACTAAAAAATAGTTAAATAAAAAAAATGAAATTAACTTTGTGTTTTTTCTTCTTACTTATTGGTTTAATTGCAAGTGATATCTTGCCCAAAAGTGATTCTACAGCTTTAAAAGTTAGTTTTGTGTTCTCATCAAATTTCATATAAAATGGGCATTGACCATAACGTTTATCACCACCTTTAGGTAACTATGTTTAAATAAAAAGAAAAACAAAAAGGAAAATTTTTTTTAATGTTTAATAATTAATTTAAATATTTACTTTTGATGGATCATAAAGAACAATTAATAATGGATAATTTGTTGGTAATTGATCAATTGGTATATGATTTATTCCAAATGAAACTTGATCCTGTGGACATTTTGTTTGATTACGTATTATATCAATACATTGTCGACACATTGTATGACCACATATAGGTAATGTTATTGGACGATACAATGGATTTTCATATTCAAAATCATGTGAACATCTAGCACAACGTAAAAACTCCATATAATACGATTCAATTGATTGAGCCATTTCTATTCAATATCAAAAAATAAATAAATAAACAAAATAGTTGTTTTCGTTTTTTTTATAAATAAATAAATCGTACTTACTAGTTTAGATAGATGATTTGTTGCCCACGTGTTGTGATAATGATGTCAGGCAAAATTCTTTCTTACTATCACTGTCTATTTAACTAACTGAATGAAGAGACAGATACCAGAGAGAGAAGAAGAGAATGGAGGTGGACGAATATGTGTGTTCACTTTCTCTCTCTCTCTCTCTTATTTCTTCTGCTTCCCGTACATGTGATGATGCTTCTAGTACGGATAACACACAAAAGAGAAGTAAACACATAGCTACATGCACTCGTTCGAAAACAAACAGTTGTATTCTTCTTCTCTTCTTTTTCATTTAGAGAAAGAAATGGAGTTGGTTTCATCCGTCGATTGCATCGGACGAGTGAAATAGAGAAAAAAAACCTTTTTAAGATCATTGCATTAGTTTTAACAATAGAAATTTTTCAATTGTTATTGCTTTGTTGATATTCTCTCTCTCATATTGTTGTATAATGAAAAAAATTAAAGATCACAAAAAAAATTCAAAACTGAGAAAAAGCTTTTTTAATGGATGCTTATTAAAATTGATTTTTATTTGGTATCTTTAATAAAATATCCTTTATTAATAAATTCATCACTTGTAGCTAATCGTGCAATTGAATCATCAGCTACAACCATCATTGGAACTGAACCAATTAAATCATATGTACTAGTTTTTCCTGTAATTCTTCCTGTTTGTTCATCAGCTATATCCAATTGAACAGCAGCATGATCTGTTGCTGCTATTATTTTATTGGTTGTAGCATATTTTCATGGAATATGGGTGTGGATGTGGGTGTGTATTGATAGCACTAAACCACACCCACATCAACCTATAAGATTTTATCTGTTCTCCTCTCTAAGATCCCACCACGAAAAACATGTGATCTTCTTCTTCTGGTACTGAAATGTTTAGTAAACCACAGTACCTGAATAAACTGAAACTACGGATGTGCCCAATACTTTAGTAATTTCCATTAATTTCAAAGATGCTATCTGCTAGAAATAAGTATTTAAAATATTTAAATATTCCTTTCACTACTTCATGCCAACTATGACTCTATGGCGACATGACTAAGATACTTTCATAAGTCTTGCATCTATTTCATACTCGGTATTAGAGATCCCGATGCTTCTTGATGTTAATAACGAATGAGTACCATAACGGTGGAACAAACTTTTTTATTGAAAAAAGATGAATATATATAGAGGCAATAGGTGTCAGGGAATGAGTAAACAAACGTCGATCAGTCAAGGAATAAACATATGACTGCAACAGTCGGCTTCAAGATAACGATCGATTCTAATGGACATCTTCCGCTAAACACTCATGAGAATTCTACACTATCATCTTATGCGCATAGTAACTTTCACCACAATCGAACTTGAAAAAAGCAATTACGTTAAACCGATCACCAATACCGCACTTTCTAAAAACAATAATCACCAAAACACAGCTTAAAATAATCACTACATATACAATAATACGACGTTGTTTTCAGCCTTCCGAGGCACCCACATTTAAGATGTTATGTATGTGTGTAGACGCTGTTTTCAGCCTTTCTAGGCACCCACACCCTTCTCCGTAGTTAGTCTCCGTTAAATTTTCATCAATTACGTCGAAAGTATGAGGATGGCAAGACGTGTTTTAGGAGTAAGTTTCAGACGGTTGGTGTTATGCAGTGAGGAGAACTGAAGTAAGAAATGTTGGGAAAAGTGTGAATTTTCCCTGCATTGGTGCTATGCTCATAATGCCAGGAGTTCAGTTGTTGAAGCTGAAATTGATTTGGAGTATGGACCTTAGTGGGATGTAATTCTGTAGAAAATTTCGATTGGATTGAATGAATACGTTTTGAGATATTGCGTAACCAAAACCGCATTTCGAGAAATTGAACGTTGAAGTTTCAGTTTAATTCAAGTTTCAAGTTCGACGTGTATGTATATGCCTTATATACCCTATATGCCCCAGAGTTGCAACCGGTCGACCGGTCTGGACCGGTTCTCTTTCTTTTATCGAGCACGGACGTATATCTCATCATTTTTCTTCTCGTCCGTATCTGATAAAAGAAAGAGAACCGGTTCAGACCAGAGCTGGGGAACTCAATTCAAAAAATGCCCAACTCAACTCAACTCAACTCAACTCAATTTCTGAGTTGAAATGAATTGAATTGGGGGTGTGTTTTTGAGTTGATGAATTGTCTTGAATTGAATTGGGGGTTTGTTTTTGAGTTGATGAATTGTCTTGAATTGAATGGAGTATAATTCGGAAATGTCTCTGAATTGAATTGAATTGAGTTGGAAAAATTCTTAGACATCGACGATTTGAGTTGAATTGAATTGAACTTTTCTTTCAATGAATTGAATCGAATTGGACACCTTTTTGAGTTGGGTTATCCAGCTCTGGATGCGGTGTATGAGCGAATTCATACAAGAAATACTCGAATCCAGCTCCAAGATATCCTACTTATATTAGACTTCGTCTTACTATAGAAAACGACTTATTTGGAAAAGAAATTATGCCATTCGATGGCCCTTACAGTCCCAGAGCTAGGCAACTCAATTCAAAAAATGCCCAACTCAACTCAACTCAACTCAGAAATTGAGTTGAAATGAATTGAATTGGGGGTATGTTTTTGAGTTGATGAATTGTCTTGAATTGAATTGGGGGTGTGTTTTTGAGTTGATGAATTGTCTTGAATTGAATGGAGCATAATTCGGAAATGTCTCTGAATTGAATTGAGTTGAGATGGAAACGTTCTTAGAGATCGACGAATTGAGTTGAATTGAATTGAACTTTTCTTTCGATCAATTGAATCGAATTGAACACCTTTTTGAGTTGAGTTGCCCAGCTCTGGTTCAGACCGGTCGACCGGTTCCAACTCTGATATGCCCTATATGCCTTATATGCCTTATAATACAATCATCACTGCTTGAATTGTTCAGTTTGTCGGATAAGTAGTTTCAATTTCCGGAAATTCATTTGGTATGCAAAATACATACAATCTACCGGCTATTTCTATAACGCATCATATGTTAATTCAATTAAAAGGAAAAAACAAAAAAAGAAAAAAAAACGAAAACAATGTTTTCCTTTTTTTAAAAGCTTTTCTCTAGTGAAAAATTAATTTTGTTTGAAAAAATTGGCATTTTCTGTAAAATGTCGTTGAAAATTTTTATACCATGTTCGAATAATACTTAATGGAACAATTTGTTCGGATGTTCGAGAAACATTTTGAAAAAATGATGTTATATAATAAAACAAATTATTAAGCGTTTTTCATAGAAATTCAGCATTTGATGTAACTGTTCATGGTGTTATATCTAGGGGTGGCACATTTACTTTACTTTTTATTTACGTAACTAAAGTAAAGTAACTACTATATGTACGTAGTTACTAGTAAAAGTAACTAATATAGTTACGTAGTTACTTGTAAATGGTAACTACTATAGTTACATAGTTACTTTTAACAAAGTAACAACTAAAACAATAGTTTGGAGTAAATACATGAGTAAGACATTTAGAGTCTGCTGGAGTAATTCGGATTACTCCAGCGAAAATTGCTATACTCATTTTATCCATCTCCTGACTCGCTTACATACATGGAAATCAAATAAAACTGTATATCATTCGACAGCGCAAACAGTCCTCTATGGGAGCTGAAAGTATCTCGGCGAGTGACATGACCGTTTTAATATAATATGCGCAACAAGAACACTTCTGTCAACTACCTTAAAACTTGTCTGGGGTAATTCGGACCAGCTAAACGATTTCGCCTGGGGTAATTCAGATCACGCAAGCTATTTTAGCTGGACATTAGTTATCAAAGCTCTAGCACTTTAACTATACAAAATCAATTGAAACGCCTGAGACGAAAGTTGTTCATCTTTCTTTGCTTTATCTAACCATAGTAAGAGATTTGACTTTTTCAGCTACTGATCGAGATTAATATGTTAAAAAAACGAAATTGAGACAAAAGTCCCTTTTATAACACCCCTGTTGTGTTTCACTAAATATTCCGAAAGCATAATAGTGATTAGATGAGAAAACGTTTGTTTTTTCCACACAAAAATGTTTGTTCTACAAAATAACATGCCAAAAAAGCATTCAAGATCATTATTCGTGCGCTATTGTGAGAATTATACTGGTAGGTGAAATGAAAATCTGTAAAAATAAAGAAAAATCGAATCATTTGTAGGTTTTTTCGAGACAAATAGATTCTAGTTGTTCGTAGAGCACGTATATGAATTATCGAAGTTAAGAAACGTATTAATTGAAGAGTGATGGCATAATCCCGTTACACCACGTAACGACTTTTTCTACACACAGCCCTAACGAGTATTCCTCGTAGTCTTGAGGTGTGGGGTGTGTGGGTGTGGGTGTGGTTTGGATTAAGATAAAAGGTAACGCGACGTTTGCGTCGCCAAGCCTCTACTGAAAGGATTTAGTCATGTGGAACGTAGCTATCCAAAACTATCTAGCTGAGAGACTTCACATTTTATAGCTTCGAAATGATTTTCATGGAAAACACGATTGATAACCGAGCATAAATAGAAAACTTGCTTGGAAGTATCACCAAGAAAACGGCATTTAATTACTACTTACTAATATTATATGGCGATACTGAAGTTAAGTGCATCCGATCTGCTACAGCTCAAACTACGCCTCCAAAAGCTTTCGATCAACTTAATAGCGGAGTGAAGAAAAAGACCCATTCATGAGAACTATGATCGAAATACTCCATTTTAGTAAAGTTATAACTCAAATTGGTCTATGAACTAGATATTTAACACGAATCTGCACGAGTAGATCAGAGATTACATCAAAGTGTCTTTTTCTAACTCGATTTCGGTCAGATTTGTTCTAATTTTTGCTCAACCTCATGTGGGTTCATTTTGTTTCGGTGCGTTCCCCGTCTAGAATGGATATATTCATTCTTGAGTGCACGTTCACACATAGATAAACCTAAGATTTACATCTTTTGAATCAAATCCACTCGCAATCAGGAAAAACTGAACCTATGAAGATAATCACGACAAATATGAATTTCAAATGTTTCACACGGGTTGAGCAATTACTTCACGACTCGTCGTCGGAAGAAATTCAAAATATGTCTTATTTTCGAAAGTTGTTTCAACTTTTCTGATCGAGACAGCGTATAACTGTTCTATAAGTCTGCAAGGCAAGTAGTCCTATAATAACAACAGAGTTTCAACAAGTGGGGGCGGCTAGTCGTGAGTGGCGGCCCAGAGGGGCGCCGACGAATGACTAGCCGCTCCCACTTATTTTGTCTCATATATGCGGTGAACGTGATCCTTTTAAACACTGCAATATTGATTAAAAGGTTAGCCTCATTCTATAATTATTAGATAAAAACGAAGAGAATTTTCAAAAAAAACCCCGAAAACAACAGTTGTGGGGCTAATTCAATTCAGTTACATCTACATATGCGATAAATTCATCACAATTTAGAGAAGAATGAGACATGGTTCCCGAGTACTTATCAGTTTGTGTCCGTTCGTAGATGCGCTAATCTTGAATCCTAGGAGTTAAGTTTGAATAAATTCTTCGTGCTGCAATAAAAGTTGACATATCAAGAATAAACTGAAGATTTTGAAAAAACCTTTCAAACTCTCAGTGCAGGTAAGCGGCTAGTCGTTCGGCGGCGCCCCTCCGGAGCGCAACTCACGGCTAGCCGCTCCCAAATTGAGAATCAATTCAACCGAACGATGGCCATAGCCTATTCGTAATAATATCTCACATAATCATACGATACATCTAACACTAAAAACATCATCGAATGGTACCCTCAAAAAGTTTCCCTACAAAGCATTCCAATCAAGAAAATGCGACGACCTAAGCAGCTCCTAATCCATTATAAACTTGTTTGAAGTACAAAATTTCAACAAACTGACAACACCATCGTGTTCCCCGACCCCGGTTACATTCGGTCAACCCTTACAAAAAGCTATTCTTTTTG